AGCCCGCTGCTCAAACTGCACGGCGGTGGACAAACCCATGAGCACAGCCCCCCCGAATCAAGCATCAAAGTACACGATTAGCACCGACTACCTCTCATCACCTCGCATCACTTCCTTCGAAGCAATGATACCATCACCAATATCCATACTCTGCCCCAGTAAGAGACACCCAGCCGCCAGAGTAACGGCAACCCGGAACACCAGATACTAGCTGTCCTCGCCACCCTGGCCTCTAGGTCACTGGGTGTCAGATATGAACGCCTTGCACTGCAACTTGACGTCTCAATTCCTATGCTACCAATGACGCTGCTGTCAGCAAAACAATGGAACCTCAGCCAGCCTATGGCCCCGACTCCGACTCCGTGTCTGTTGTTGTTGTTGTTGTTGCTGCTGCTGCTTGTCACCTTTACTGTTGTTTGTCACTTGCGGTCCAGCCCGGGAGCACTGCTCACCAATGCGCATTGCACCCATCCAATATTCAAACCGCCGCGCACTTCACCGGAGGCAGACGAATTCTCTCGTCCCTGAATGCTCCATTTGAGGGGCGGGAAACGCAACCCATCACCAACTACAGATAATATAGAGTGCGGAGTACGTACATACCGCTAGAACGATGTATCGGATTGACGGCTGCCTTCTCCAGCTCGCAAATCTTGATGGGTCCCGAGAAGCGGGAAACGCAAGGGTCTGGTCCAGTACTGTATTCGAAAGCAGGGTGCGCCAGCCGGACGGGCGCCAGAACATCTCCCTCTGCACAGAGTCGCTTCGCAAATGGAGACGGCAGCAAGGCGTGACCGCAGATGGGGGCGTATCGCAAGGTTCGATCAAGTCTCAACAAGCACCGCTGAAGATGAGCTGAAGTGGGCTATTGGGCATCCTCATCTCTCGCAGTTACCCACGGTACCCCCTACACAGCAGTGTACGGATACACTCGAAACTCCAAGGAGACGATTTGGCTGTCCAGCCTCACCAGCGCCATCAGAGTCGGAACGCATTCGTCCAGATCAACGTACGAATGACCAGAAACGCACATGCACAGCCAAGCTCGCCGGTCACCAGTGACATCTGTTCTCGCCATACCGTATTGCATAGCATTACTCCGTACCGTGCCGCCATAACCTACAAAGCACAGCACAGCACAGCACAGCTCAGCACAGCACAGCTCAGCATAGCATTGCTCAGTACCTTATTATGGCCCTCTCTCCTGCACACCTGTTGCACCGGCCGTGGCTTTGAGGCCGCTAACGGTAGGGCGGCAAGCTAAGAGTCCTCAAGAGAACCAAGACTGGGCAAGACTGGAGAGGGACTCATAGTCTCATGCACGGTACCTTTTTTACACTCGGAAACTGGGTCAGGGATTAGACTTAGTTTGGCCTCGCTCTGAGTCTCTCTGAGTCTCTCTCGCTTACCCCCGTCAAAATCAGCCCATCAGAACCAAAGTCCCAAAGCTAACCCGCTCATCAATCTCCACCCGCCAGCCCGATCCATGACTTCCCACTGGGTCGTTTCATTCTCCGCCAACCTGGGACCATTCCCAAGCGAACTGTTGGCTGTCTTACATACTCCAAATTCCGCTCCTCTGTCACCCAGAGTCTCAAAGAGCCCTCAGCCTCCTCCGCAGGCCCTCAAGGTCGCAGCAATGCCATGCTGCCATCCACTGTGACTACGTCTTTACGGATACATACGACAGGCCTGCTTCGCAGTAACGACGAGCAGATCAGGGCTCCCCTTGCGTTTGCCCAAAGCGGCAGATGGGATCCCAGTTTAAATTGAGACCAACACCAACTCTCTGTGCCTCTCTCATTATGTCACCCTTCAACGCGGAAATTGACCAATGACGCCCTTGGCGCCCGGACGGATACCATTTCTCGCGCGTTGCTGATATCACCAGTCCCCATCAACCCGTGGTCCGTGACATGTGGAGTTTATTGAAAACGGTCCACTGCGGACCAACTGCCATGGCTTCTGCTTACTGTTGGGGGCCGATCAAGCCAGCTCATCCACGGACCAGGAGGAAGAAAACGATAGAGCAGACAAAAAAGCTTTGCTTCAACTTCCGGTCAAGGTCGGCATTTTCGTCCGGCCTGTCACTAGACCACGGGACAGGCAGGGGTCGGAACGGCCAACGGGCGCTCTGGGTTCTCTATCCCACCCACCAAGATTACACACCCAGTCTGATTAGCCAAGCAAAGCCCACCAGTCTGGTCTGGGTCGGCCGAATGACGTTCAGTACAGAGCACGCGGTACCAGGGTTACAGTTTGAAGGTTGAGAATTCCGAACCATTGACAACTCGTAACTCGCAGCTTCACACGAGCGACCGTTCGCATTTCACCTAATCGGGTTTCAGGGACAGCCGGAGTCTGGGACTCTAGGACGCGAAAAGGAGCAATAACATGGACCTGCATGTCTTGACTTGTCAGTCGTCACCTAGCTTGCGTTGGTTGAAGCTTGGCGTTTTGCTCTGACGGTGCTGGATTGCGCGGTTGCGCATATCACCAACGAATCCGTACCCAGGGATTCGTACTCAGTCGTGTATGCTTATTTGCTGCACAGGACTTTGGCGCAGGGAAAGTCGCATGACGGATGCGCGTCTCCTCGCAGGAACACATTCAAACGAACCTTGATCAACCAATTGCTCACCACCATCACCACTCGCACTCGCACAACCCTCCCAGTCCCTCTCCACACGTAGGGCTGGTGTGGCTGTCCACCTGTCCCAGTGACTCTAACCCAAGCCAATCCAAGATGTTTACCGACAGACGAAAGAAGCAAGAAACTCAAAGCAAGCAAGCTTTTTGACTCAAAATCGGTTCCCGGCTCACCGTCCACACAGTGACTTGCCCCGAACGCAGGAGAGAGGCGGCGTCGCATCGTCCTGTGTACTCAATAACTTAGCCGCCTCGTCACTTACACATTACATGACTATTCCTGGACACGCCGAATCCCGCACCCCGTATCGTATTCCAGGGCCCTTAAAAGAACGCAAGAATTAGGACTCGTTAGGAACCCCCCTCATTCCAACGGATATCGGTTCATCCGCAAAGCCTATGCCACCGTCTCATTGGCTCAAGAAGCCCGTCGTGTACTGACGACACGTAGGCGGTCACGAATCAACGATCCCGACCCCAACTGTCTGCCCGCCGGTCAGCCCTATGGGTGTCCCCTCGTCACCAATCAGCTTTGCGGAAATAGAGCAGCCTATCACCAAACTCCGCTTCGCCGATCAATTGCGGCCACCTCTTTTTTTTTTCCCCCCTTCCCAGGACTTTCGACCGCGTCGTAACAAGGCATCAGCATTTCTGCTTCTTTGCCAGGCCAATACGATACGTACCAGTCCCTCGCTTCTTTGAACCGATGCAGTTCTACACACACTAGATAGACACACCCGTTTCCTGAGACCACGTTCGTTCCACCTGACGCACAATAGACAAGACCCGTCATTGATTGGACTAACACAGAGGCCACGAATCTGTATCAACATGAAAAGAAAGAGGGTTGTGACATTGGTGTTGTTTATTCTCTCTGCCTTGAGCTTGTTTCCTTCCGCTAGACTCTTTGGAGGCATACTCGTCCCCAAGTCATGCACGTCAGATTCCCAATGGGCTTCCAAGTTGAAACTTTTCTCAGCGGCCCTCAGACATGGTGTACTAAGGTGTGATTGCTTTGAGGGGGCGATGGCCGGCTGGGACAAGGGTGGCCAGATCGCTGGAACATGGCCTACCTACTCTATTTCTCTACTTTTTGACCAGAGGACTGCTTCCCCTCCCCCTCTTCACCAGCCACGCGGCTGAAGCTCACCGTTGCTCCTAATTGGGGACCCTCCGCTACAGCATCTCGACCTCGTCCATCAGCTCCTCCAGTGGCAACTCGGGGGTACATTCCGCTCCTGCGATGCGTGGCTCCGAGCTGCTGACTACTACGCGGCGGTCCTCCTGCTGCTGATCCCGGCTGCTCCGTCGTTTACCTTTCTCATGGGTGGCGTTCACTTGCAGAGGACGGCTTGCGTTTGCGGAACTACGGGTTAGCCCTTCGGACATATCGGCCGTGCCCTCCACCGTACGGGAAGCCGTATCTCGTTTGGTCCTCTCTTGTATTTTCAGGGGCGCGGGGAGGAGGTGGAAAGTAGATCCACGGACGTACGAGGGTATCGGCTTGGGCTGCGTGGGAAAGGGTGATGTAGAACCACTTGGTCTCTCTTGCTGTTGGGATTGGTGTTGATGCTGATGCTGCTGCTGCTGATGCCGTTGTCCACCGTGACTCACCGGTCTTCGCTGCTCTTGCGGCTGCTGGTGAAGATATACTTGCTGGGCACCTTGCTGCTCTCCTCGACGATGCTGCTGCCGGCTGGCCTCCTCCTCGCGAGCGTCGTGAAATCGCTTATTGAACCACGGTGACGTCGGAGATCTACCACCCCTTGAATTCTGTGGCACTGCACCAGCAACACCTCTGCCACTTCTGCCGTCAACGTCCCCGCCATCTCTGCTCGTACCGTTCCCATCGTGACCACCGCCCCTTGGCGGGCCCGGAGCCCTGGGGCCCTGATATCGACGCACATCATCACCCCGCCGCGAGGCCTTCTGCCCCCCTCGATCTCCTGAAAAACCTGGAGCACCGTAAGCATCATTCCTACCAACATTTCCCCCCAACTCCGGACGCCTCTGCTGCTGCTGCCCATGCTGATACCGCGTCCTCGCCGGCGTCGGCGTCGACGGAGGAACGGCCTGCATCGCCGCGACGGCCTTTCCCTGGACGCAGCGGGGACAAGTTCCCCCGACGGGACTCATGCAGCGTTTCCTTTCGCGGCAGGTGCCGAACTCTTCGTAGCCTTGTGACGGTGGCGGCGTGGAGGGAGTGGACGGGCAGGTGAAGCAGGGGCAGAGGAGCAATCTCCACGGGGAGCGATCTTTGCGGTTTCGTCGTGCTCTTTTGGCGTTGTTGGTGCTGGTATTGGGCTTGGGATGATTGCTGGCAGAGATAACAGAGGAGGAGGTCAAGCTGGAGTCGTAATTGAGCTTGCGCGCTTGCGCTTTGTGGTCTGCGCAGTCTATGTCTTCAAAGACGCTGTGGTGGCAGTCTGTGTAGATTATTTGCTTCTCCCAGCACATGTTTCTCGGTAGACTTTTGGAGTTTCGTAATACGTTTCCCCTGTGGTATTTTACGTACCTCTATTTTATGTATGCCTTTTGCCTTACTTGGTATCGGGGAGCTGGGCTGCTTTTGGACCGAGATTTTAGCCTCTGGAGGCAGGAAACGGGGTTTTGGGTTTCGATTCTTGGCTGGTATGTACGACTGGCTTCTTGACAGACTCTCTCTCCGTCTATCTCTCCTCTCGCCTGGGAGAGTGAGGTTTTGACTTGACCCTTTTGTACCGACGAGAAAGGTACATTGGGGTTGTGATGGAGGGGGTTGGGACAACGCCTTGTGTTTTTTTGGTTCATCTTGTTCTTCTCTGTTAGGTAAATGGTTTGACGGTGGCTATTACAATGACTTTGTCTTAGGATTCTTGGTGTATTGCTTCTTGTTCGTGATGCTCGACAACCGCGTTGTTCACTTTGAGTGTGCTCTAACTACTTGTCGGTAGATGGACCAGATCATTTCTTGCTGAACACTCGGACAGCAGCAGTCGTGATAACTTTGAGTAAGACCCCAGACCACTGTATCTCTATACTGGCCCATTCAGTGGAGATTGGCAGGTAGGCCTATCGATTCTCGGGATTTCTGTTATACTGGAGAAACCCGAGATTCAAAAGATGAGGCAGGTAGGTCGAGGTAGCCAGCTAGCTAAGCCTCGTCGAGAACAATCAAGACAGCGCGGTCTACTTCCAATTGTCGTGAAATGTCGTGAAACAAGGGATTTCTTGATCCGGCTATTTTCTTGTTCTGTTTCTGGAAACTCTGATCCGTTCGCGAAGGATCCTCCAGAAAAGAATGTCCGGGCGTTGATGTTTGCTTGGATCCAACGTTTTCTCTCCCTTTACATAAAGTGAAGCCTGTTATTAAGAAATCCAAAAGGCCTCTTTTCTCCCGAAGAACTGGATGTTTCAGAAACCTTCTGACTCGTCAAAGACTGACGTAGAGAAGATACAAGATCAAATAATTGCCAACAACATTATGCTCATGTTCGTTTCGACGTAGTTCTAGGCCTCGAAGAAACGGTCAATATCGTTTCACTGCTCCCCGTTCAAGAATAAGGAAACGTCAAAGGATTCCACGAGGAAGCCTTCGTTTCTTTGACATGGCAGACTCTAGGATTTCTCCCTTCCCCTTGTCCGACGAGCAAGGGATCAGTCAAAGGCTACTTCTTTATAGGGCAGACGCCAAGTTTTTGCACCAAGTAACGGCAACAAGAAGGGGAAAAGGCCTTTTCCTTTAGTACCATCTGAGTCAAAAGGAGTCAGTCCAGCTCCATTTTACACTCGTCAGGCGTTTCGTTGCTTCCTCTTCGACTTCTTTCTTACTTCTCATCAGGATTTTTCGCTTTCCCTTGGACAAAACAGACAATCGTTGGAGGGATAATCTAATTCTTCGGATTTCAAGGAACGATGGGCTTCACATGGCCATCCCTAGGACGCTGGACGTCCAACAGAAGAAGACCCTCGCGATCATCCCGCGAACCATACCGTCACCGTCCTACGGCGACGGCGACCAAGACGTCAGAGTGTTACTCTCCCACCACTGACCAAGCCCACGAAGGCGAAGACAGAGAATCCAGACAGAACCATGCTCAAGACACGCACAGCTACGACGCGCCCGAGTTCTCCGTATACGGAGGTGATCTGTCGTCACCCATGCACCGTCCCTCGGCCCCTCCGGCCCAGGGCATCAGGGAGACGGAGTCGTTGCTCAGAGGTGAGTCCCCCGCGGCGCTCATCGAGCTCATCCGGCAAACGGAAGACGCTGAACGGCGGGTGAGGGGAAGTGAGAAGTTCGAGTACCTCGGCGCGGACGACGACGCGCTGCACGTTCGGTACGGAACTACAACGACGGTCTACGGGAGTGGGGGGGAAGGGACCGCTCGATACGACGATGGCTGGGTTCTCTCTGTCGCCGAGGAGAACCGTCGCCGGGACGAGGCGGCGGCTTGGGAGGAGTACGACGACGACGAAGACGAAGATGACTTCGACGAGCAGGAGTTTGGGGATTGGAGGGATGGTGGATATGGGTGCGAGTGCGAGCGCGGCGGATGTTATGAAGAGGACGAGGAGTTTGAAGAGAAGCGCGATGAAGCGGAAGAGGTAATTCGTCACGATGATGGCCGGCGCGGGTCACGGGCTGTTGACGAGTCTTCACGTCCGTGTGGTCACGAGGCAGAAGAGGGTGCTAATACTCAACGTCACAGGTCGGAGGCGCAAAAGAAGGAGACAGGAGAGGTGATGCCTGCGTTCGAGGTGTGTGGTGTGATAATGAGAGACGGACTGCGCTTGCATCCGACGAACGGGGCGGTCTCGGGCTCTTTGACGACGGTCCAGGGGCCTGGAAGATCCTTGACGGCAAGGGAGGAGGGAATGGAGATGACTTTAGTCGATTACTCCAACAACGAGACATCTACCGCGGAAGAAGACCCCTTTGATGGCGAGGGCAGTCGGCGTCATCTGCCGTCGCTATACTTTGAGGATTTGAGAAGTATGGTCGAAGAGGGGGTGGTTCCGGGTCCCTTGATCTCGGGGGCGGATGTCGTCGATGGGACTGGTGATGACCAGACGAACGAGGCAGGATCGAATTTCACGCCGGATGCGGAGGTGTTGTTTGATTTCTCCGAGTATAGGACGGCCGAGGCACAAAACCAGGGACACGAATGGTCGATCGGGATTATGTTAAACTCCCTTTCAGAAGAGTTTGAAGGGTGGCAGGCCGATGCTGATGAAGAGGAGAATCTCCCTCCGACTCCTGCTCACGCGATCATTCGTCCCGTCGCCGGACTGGATTGGTATGACGACAATGAGAGATCGAGGTACTCTGATATTCGTCCCCAGAATTTGGTCATGAGCGTTACCAGGGCAGACACAGAGTCCAACAGGGCATCAGAGAGTCCGCTAACGTTCCCACTCCGCAAAGACTCATTGGAACATAGTTCCAGAACCCTCACCTTTTCCGAGGTATCCTACGCGGCGGAGAAAGGAGATAGTTTCACGACAACGGAAGCTGGCGACTTCGATAGCACACCCATGAGGACCGTCTTTCAGAATACAAGCCAGTTCTTCCAATCAACCACCGTGGAAGACGAACACTGGATATCAACGCCACAGCCATCCACATCCCCGCGATGCTCCTCGTCTGTCTACTCCTCAGACTCCTCGGATAATGAAGGCACTCTCTCCCCCACACCCAAGACATCTCCAACACCCCCGAGTGAGGGCGAAGGAGACGAAGAAGAGATAAATGACCTCCTCGACATCTACGCGACCACATCCCACCCCCACCACGAATCCTGCCTCTCTCCCACAACCGACAAAGACCTCCTCCCCCCTTACCATCCCTCCTCCCCATCCGCCCTTGCCCCTCTCACCACAATCGCCCGTGGCCTCTCCCTGCCCCAAACAACACCCTACAACACCCTCCAAACCCACCTTGCCCGAAATGCAAACATCCTCCGCTACCTCGTCCTCCATTGTATCCCCTCTCCCTCCGTCAACCCCCTCGAACCCCAGACCGACCTCGTCGAACCCATACTTCCTTTGCCGCTGACCCCCGGCTCAGGGAGATACGCCCAAAACTTCCCCTCTCACCCACGCAGGCGCGAGTATACCCGCCTCCTACAAGCCATCCGCTCCGTGCAGTGGTCAGCAGACGCCATCAACGACATGCTGGCCGTAGTAGACTTCCACACCCCTCTTCCGTCCCCTTCATCTCCCTCGTTCTCGACGTACCCTCCGCACAGACGAGCCTCCACAGCCCTCCGCGCCTTTCGAAAACTCCGCGCCGCGGACGCAGAGCGGCGGGGGTACCTCACTTCGACGCAGCTTCACGAGCTGAGCACGTACGGAATCTCGCTCCTTGACGTGCTGCAGATGAACGACGTCCCGCGGGTCGTGAGCTCTGGGCTTGGCGGGCGGCTTGTTGCTGCCGCAGCGTCTGGGGCGCTGGGCGTCGCGAGGGAGTGTAATCTGCTCGACGAGGAGGGGGCGTTGCTGGAGTTGCTTGCTGATCCGGAGGACGAATTTGGCTCGAGGTTGGAAATTCGGGACCAGGGTAGACGAAAGGGAAGGGGAAGCGGGTTGAGGTGTTGTGTTGGTGTTGATCATGAAGATGAGATGGGTGTCGAGGAGGACGTGGCGGATAGTGACGACGAGATGGAGGATGATGATGTGGATGAGGGATATGGAGAGGGAACGTACTTCGATGGCCTTGTCGACGACATGGGAACAGGGCCTGTCGTTGATGATGATGGGGCGTACCTCGTCAGCCCCTTATCTCCCGAAGCATTCACCGCCGACCAGACCTGGGAGGGCCAGGTCGATGTATCCTTCGCGGCGGAGACGTCTCAACCTCCCGAGGACCTCATGACCTTCTCTGGCGATGACGAGAAAGGAGATGAGGATGACATCTACGATTCACCTACAGACTGTGCTCTCGAACAACCGGAAGCAGACCTCTACGTCAAGCCGCTGAATACATCGAGAAAGAAACCCACGCTCAAGAGGTCACATAACTTTCAAGAAATCGAGATCTCCGATAAAGAGACCAACACAGCGGTCCTGGTCGATATAGAGACAGGCGACGACGCCGAGTTGCAACGGTTCTTCACCGAGATTGGGGCGATGCCTGTAGTTGCTGGCACGTCGGACGTTGTCATGGAGTGAGGTTAGGAGGGGTCAACAAGAAATTGACGAAAACTTGTTACATCCCATATCGAGAAATTCAAGCGAGATCTCTTCGTATAGTTCAGAGGAAAGGGAGGAGGGACACGAACATAAATCTAGGTGGAACATTTGTTGATTTGGCGATAATACCTACCTACCCTATCTTAGAATGGAAAATAGGAATACTCTGAATATACAACCGGAGCAAGGTATATACCCCCCTCTAATCCCATTTCCGCCACCAGCAACAGCAGGCGCCTCTCTAGGTCGGGAGGTCAGGACAAACTGGCTGGGTGGTGGAAATGGTCAAAGGCCGACAATCAATTTACACGCCAACCAGCCTGTTCGACGACAGGCTTAGCGAGAGTACCCGAGTTCGAATCCCAGCATGAGCACCAAGAGATGTAGCCACACCGGTGGTGGACTCTTTTTTTTTTTTTCCTCCATTCCAGTCTTCGGAACTATTGAACGCACGTGTGTAGAGTTGGAGCAGAAAGCCAACAGGAAGGACATGGGCGTAACTGTTTTTTTGTACATCGTACGATCCATCTATAAGAAAACAACACATCCAATGGGTATCTTTTTCTCCTTTTCACATCCTTCTCGCCGTCTTTGCGATCCTCTCCTTCACACATGAGCCCATCCATTATACACAAGCACCTGCCCCTCGTTAATCAAACAATCAACCCCCTTCTCGCTCCTCTTATCCTTCTCACCACCACCGCGAGCCTCCCACTCCTTCAACCTCTTCCTCACAACCCACTCCTTCACCCTCTCACTCGTCAACACCCTCCTCACCCTCCCCTCCCAAACCCCAACCACAATCCTCCACACAGAAAGCCAACTCCGCCCACCACCCGGGTTCACAGCCTCATACGCAGCAGGCGAATACCCGACCCTCACCCTTGGGTTCACAAACACCCCCAGCTGCTCCGACAACGGATTATCCACATGAACGAGACAACACTCGCTCGCCTCGAGGTGCGCCTCCTCGGCCAACGAATCGTCCACCCCGCGGAACGCAAGCCTCTTGACGCCGCCGGCCGCGCCCCGCCGATTCGCTAAAAAGGGCGCCGCCGGCATCGCTACGATCCCGTTCCAGCAGCTCCGCACGGGTACGGCGTCCGAGTAGGCCATCATGGCGGCGCGGCTCGCCTCGGAGCGGAAGTACGGCCACCGCTGCATCAGCGTCGCTTGCCCCGCCGAGTCGCGCAGCGCAAAAGTGTCGTAGTAGGATGGTGGGTGGGCGAAGTCGAGGGAGCAGGCTGCGGCGTAGATGCCGTTGTTGGTATCGAGCAGCGCGAGGACGTCTTCGGTCTGGGGTTTCCCCATGTTAGCCCTCTCTCTTCTCCTTGGTGTGATTGTCGCATGAAACGTGCCGTCCATGTCATAAACGAAGGAAGAAACGCAAATCTTACCGTAAACACAACATCATTCAAAAAAAGCACCGTATCAAACATCTCCCCGTCCTCTCCGAGCTTCCACAAATCCCGCAACGTCAAATTCCTCAACTTCGCAAGAAACGGTATCCTCCTCATCTCCCTCTTCCCCCTCGGCGTCGTAATCCACCCTTCCCTCTCCTCCCCCTCCGCAGGAACATCCTCCACCTCCTGCGCATGCGTCCTCTCGTCAAGCACCACATTCCTCCTCACCCCCCTCTTCTCCAACACCCCGTCCAGCTCCCTCAGCGCCGCCTTTGTATCGTCCCAGCTCCCGCTCTCATACACTGACACATAGACGTTCTCCCGCCCCAGCGCCTCGACGAGGTCCAGGACCGCTTTATTCCAGTGCGTCCGGATCACGGAGGCGTCGTTGTAGTGCATTCCTGCAATGTAGATGCGCTCGGCGCGCCGCGGGCGGGACGGGTCGTGGCGCGGGGCCGAGGTGACGCGGCGCTGGTAGCGGAGGGCGTCGAGGAGGATGTAGAGGGTTAGGAGGAGGGCGAGGTTGCGGAAGGGGCGGGAGCGGAAGAGGCGGCGGGCGCTCAGGCGGATGCCGTTGAGGAGGCCCATGGCTTTTTTCTTTCTTGAGGGTGAGCTCGGCGGCGTTGCGCTCGAGCTTGCCGTCGTCGGTGGTCGTTGGTTCGGGTTGGTTCGAGCGGAGGGGAACCGGTGTTGGAAGACGAGGTCGAAGGACGAGAAGATTAACACGATAGTCAGTGAGCAGAGGGAGAAAATGAGAGGTATGTCATGGACGCCATTGAACCGGCCTTGACGACAGAAGAGAAGAGGAAAAAAAGAGGAACCTCTGAGTGCAACAAGTCAACGTCCCTCCTTCCTGCACTGGCCAAGACGGACGAGCGAGAGTCTCGTATTATCATCCGTAAGATTATACGTAAGGTAACACCTGGAGGCCGCGGGGGCCTGTAGGTGCTCAGTAATGCGAAGTAGCTTTTCGGCAGGGATCAGCTAAGGGTCCCGTCACCAGGTATTGTCCCTACTGCGCTCGATTTAGCCCGGTGTCATTGGGCCCCGGCAGGGCTGACAGGGTCCGTTTTGGAGGCCTGGAGAAGACGGGGAGCCACGCGATTGGTCGCTTCGACACAGCTTACCCCTGCACAAGACGACGACGACGACGACACGACGAAGAGCATGAGAACATTGACCAAGGTATGGTATGAAATAGCATGACTTGAATGATGCTTTCATCCAATTATGCGTAAAAATGCCATCAACAAGTATCCCTACCTCAAGTACATCACAGCTTCACGTGAACAAAGATCCTCTGGAGTATATCATTGGACTCAAGAAAACTACTAATACACTCGACGTCCCCAATCATCCCCATTTTAATCCTCTGCTGGACTCTGTGGTCACTGTATTCCCTTGACCTGTTCGCTCTAGGTCGTTGGAGGTGAGAGCCCGTCTGACATCTGGGGCAACATCTTCTAAAAAGGTATCTGTATCATCAGTCCCGCGTTGGGTCTTGATGTGAACGGCTTGCCATCTATTTGGCAAAGTGCAGGTCATATCCGAGCCACTTGCGACGGACAACCTCCTCAACGGTGAGGCCAGGGTATCCATACGTCAAGGGCAGGAAGAAGTACCAGCCGGCGAGGGCAATGAGAAGGATAACGCCGCAAGCGATCCAGGCGCCAGCAAGACTCTGACCGGCGAATCGCTCACGGGCCGAAATGTGTCTCTTAGGTCCATCGGCCTTCTTGTTGCCCTTGATGACTTCGTAGCCCTCCTCGGGAGCGGGCTCAGCGGTGAAGATGAACTCCAGGAGAGCACCAGCAACTAAGCAGGAAGCCAAATGTGCCGGCAGGTAGTGGTGAAGGAAGAGTTGACGGCCCATCAGGTAGAAGGGGAAGTAGTGGGTGGCCCAGGCGAGGAAGAAGAAGCCAGTTGAGTTGTACAGACGCGAACGGGTACCTGCTGATGATTAGCGACGGTGTCCTAGACAGTAAACAAAATGCACGGTACTTACGGTGGTCAAGAGCGTCAATGCCTCGTCTAAGTGACACCTGGTCCGCGCCGATGATACCGGCAAAGACTGCCAAAAGACTGCTGGCGAGCCACCAGCCAATGGGGTTACCGAGGAAGTAGATCTGCTGGCGGGTGTCGTTCTGAGTCCAGAAGCTGACACCACGGAGCAGGAAGGGCCACTGGTAGGGGTGGCTGGCGTACGGGTGGCTGCTGGTCAACTGGTTGTTGTGCCAGAACATGGAGCGCTGAAGCTCGAACCACTTGCGGAAGAAGGGCAGGGTCTTAACCTCCTTCTCCGGCTTCTCGCGTCTCTTAGAATCGAGGGGGATCGCGGGAAGGTCCTCAACAAACCAGATATTGGAGCTCGGCGCCAACTGCTTGTTGCCGTTGATTTCCTGCTGCTTGTGGCCCCATTCGGGCAGAGGAGTGGTGTGCGTCCACATGGCAACCTTGCTGGGGTTGTGGATGAACTTGAAGTGGCTCGAGATACTCTTGAACTCCTGACCAGGCTTGCCGTTCTCGACACGGATCTCAAAGAGGGTGTCGTTGAGACGGTCGCCGTACGCATCAGCCAAAGGCACCGTAGTGAACTCCTGGTTCGTAGGGTAGTAGGGCGAGGCGACGTCGTGGGACAGCAGCATGGTATCGGTACCCAAGTGCCTGAGGCGCACAACATCGTTGTTCTTGACGGCCTTGCCTGTCTTCTGGTCGTCAACCAAGGGGATGATCTGCCAGTAGTTGTTCGTGTCGTTGTAAGGGTAGCCGGTAACCTGCTGGCCTTGGCTGGAAACACGGCCGTCATCGTAGCGCAGAGGGTAGTGGTCCTCGTGACTGTGGAGATAGGTCTTGGTCTCCTTGTGGCGGATGCTGATGGTGTCGTAGTACTCCACGGTCAAGGAGTTGGCCAACATGACGTTGTCGCTCAGCGTCTCCTGGAACTCAGGGGTCATGAAGTCGTCACCAGGGCCCGATCGGGTCAGAACGGCAAAGTGGACCTGGAACCAGAAGAGGTAGAAGAGGAAGGGCATGATGATCAGGCCAAAGGTGCGAGCAGCAAAGTGCTTGCCAAAATCGGGAAGACTTAGAGCACCACCGGGTCTCTTGATGTCCAACAGGCCCCAGAGATCGATAATCACAGCGGAACCAATGGTGACGAAGGCGAAGAGTCCAACGTACTTTGTCGAGATATCGGCAGACAGGGCGAATCCGGTGAGGATCAGCCACTTCCACCACTTGCGCGAGAAGGGCTCGTGGCGCAGCTTGTAGAACTTGATGTAGCAGAGCAAGCTGCAGGCCATGGCGAATACGAGGGTCGCATCGAGAAGAATCAGACGCGTCTGACCAATGTGCGCGTTGTCGAGCAAGACAAGACCGGCGGCCAAAAGGCAGGCGGGCAAGCTGTAGCCAGACTCCCACATGATGAGGTAGGTGACGGAGACGGTCAATGCGCCAAGAATGGCGGGCAGAGCTCGGAAGGCGACATAGGGCACCTTGTTGGAGATGTAAGAGTCGCCAATGTTCTCGAAGTGAAAATGTCCGTCATAGCCAACGAGCCATCCCATAAAGGCAAAGAGGAGCTTTCCGAACGGAGGGTGGACATCGAAGAAGTAGGTTCTTTCGAGGTAGTAAGAGGCAAACTGTAGTAAAGAGCAGTGTTGGTTAGCTATCATGTGTTCTGGCGATTCCGATTCTGCATTGGTGGTTTCCTCCGTGTCTTTTCTTGTTTCCTCTATGGGGAGACGAATGTCAGACGTACCTTGCCAAAGTGGACTTCGTCAAAGACGACCTCATTGGGATGGCTGATGCCCCAGAAACGGGTAACGAAGGCGAGAATGGTGGTGATGAGAAGTCCGACGCCGTACTCGGGCTGGGAGACGGCGCGCTTGGTCTTTGCACCGGCCTTGTTCAACGACTCGACGACGGCGTCAGCTGCACCGGCGGCGGGCGTGGTAGGCCGCTTCGCATTGTTGCGCTGGCGAACGCTGCCCTGCGGGGTGGCAGTCGTCGACGCCATGATGGGGGTGGGACGTGGGGGATTCGATGAAGGAGCTGCTCGGCGATGGAAAAGGTTTGTCAGTCCAAGCCTTGAGGCTGAAAAGTTTTGGTTTCCAGAAGTTTGCGAGCTGGGAATATTTGATCCCTCGGGGGGCAGGCAGGATCACCACAGAAGAAGGACAGATAGCTCCAACTGAAGGGACCCTATGGGACTGGATTGGTTCCAATGGATGAGAGGTACGTATCGCACTAGGTACGGTAGGTAGGTACTCTGGAGCTGTAAGGGAGCGAGCTCAGGGGCTTGTAGCTAACTTACACGCTACGAAGGAAAAGTGGAGCGCGTCAGCCCTCACGTCACGTTTGATCAAAAGTCGAAGAGAAAGAAGGGAACGTAATATAAAAAGGTGACGTGTTAAGGAATGACTTGAAGAAGAAGAAGGCCTAGGAAGAAGAAAAAGAGAGGGCCCGAATTGACTTCTCACGATAATGGGAAAGAAGATTGAGGGACGGCAGAAAAGGGACAAGGAAGATTGATTGTTTTCCCCGGGAACTTGAGCGGAAAAACTTGGGAGACTCCCTGACGACGTGCAGACTGCAGACTGACACTGAACCTTCCCGAAGACCAGATGGCCCTGTCCGTAGTATTATCCGTAGTCTCAGAAGCTAGGGAACGGGATAATCTTTAGGGGCAGGGATCGTTCTCTTTCTCCATGGACCACCAAGAGGACTGGACACTTGGCCAAAGTGGGAGAGCTATCAGCAGAATCATCTACGTATTCACGCACTCATTCTGGTTTCTTGCCGGGCATTCAATTCATTCCATTGGATGGAGCTGCGCTAACAATTTCGGAGTAGTGTTCCAAGGGCGGCTTGGGGAGACTACGGAGTACAAGTGGACTTGGGTACTCAGAACCGGGAGAGCAAGGGCAGCTCCAGCCCACTTCACCTCATCTCACATCTTCCCACCTTCCGCTGCGATAAGATAAGGATCCCATGATGCCTCGTGGAGCATCCGAATCTCCGACATAAAATCACTTTAAAAGATACATTGTACGCGTAGGCAGAACAAGCCATTTCCCGGGAACAAGTGCCCTCTTGTATGACTTGGTACTTGCTGTTCTAAGAATGGAGTTATTCGACATCTTCCAATTCTTTTCGATCGAGTGATCAATATCATGATTCCAGGCCTAAGTCAGGTACCTAGGTACGTACGGATGCCATCCGCAGATAAATGCTCTAAATACAACTTCAAAAACATGTTAGCCGCGGATACTCCACAGACAGACATCCAATAATACATCCCATGCATCTTCTTCAACAAAGCTTACAAACAATCATGCAATGTCATGTCAACTTGTCAATCCAGGGCGCCGAAAAGCCATAACCCGCAACTGGCCGCGCCGACGCACGCCGACAAACCCACCCCTCCATCCGCGCACCGGGCCCAGCGCCGAAGAACGGAGGGCGTGCCGCACCACACATGTCACCAACGGCACCCCGCCCGAAGCCCGCCCATCCAATCGTGAAGCTCCAACTTTATATGTAGACCCTCAATTCGCCGCAGTCCGCCCTACCTTACCTGTGTACTCCGTAGTGCTACGTCTCTGCTTTGCTCCAATTGCCCAATTGCTCATAACCCCGCGATAGATAGTCTCTCATCCTTTTCCTTTTCCCAAATGTCCTCACTCCTCAGATCCGTCACAAGACTATCATCCCGCGCCGCCGTTCGCTCAACACCACGTCTCGTAAACAAATTCCATATCCAGCCCTTTAGCGTCAACACAGCAAAGATGTCTGAGCAATCCATCGTCTTCACCAAGAACGCCCCGGCCGGTGAGTTTTCTCTCAATCTCATCCTATTCACCTCAAATGGGTGACTCAAAGTAACACTAGCTAACAATCAACTCGAATAGCTCTTGGCCCCTACGTATGAAAACACCACTCCCTCTCTCACCATGAAGCCCTCTAAGAAAAAGACTAATCTAACCACCATGAACCCCCAATAGTCCCAGGCCATCAAGACCCCCACCGCCATCTACTGCTCCGGCCAGATCCCCCTCACCCCCGAGGGCACCTTCGTCGAGGGCTCCATCGCCGACAAGACCAAGCAGTGCATCTCCAACCTCAAGGCCGTCCTCGTCGAGGCCGGCTCCTCCATCGAGAAGGTCGTCAAGGTCAACATCTTCCTCGCTGACATGGGCGAGTTTGCCGTGAGTTTCCTCCCTCCTTCTCCCTCTCGGGATTCCACCTCATTTTCCCCTCCTAACAAATCACGAACAGGAGATGAACGGCGAGTACGAGAAGTGGTTCACCCACAAGCCCGCTCGCAGCTGCGTCGCCGTCAAGACTCTGCCCAAGAACGTTGACGTTGAGATTGAGTGCATTGCCCTCCCCTAAAAGCTAGGTGTATCTCCTGCTAGAGAGCTCGACCCGTGAAGGAAGTGAGCAGTCACTATAGATCTCGACAAATTAAAAAACAAGTGAAACGTACATCTTAGACGTTTTCACATTCAAGTGACCGTCCAATGTAACCAATGGAGTTGATAAGAGGACTAGACTTGTAGATTTGCTAATGTGATTGTTTGAAATATGGTTCTGTAGGTAATTCTCCCCTTGCAGTACCTATGCGTGATTCGTGGATCGTGATATCAGGACACGCTAGGTGAGGCCCTTACCGGAAAGGCAGCTTCGTAGCTACATAAACCACTGTGAACCTCAATGGCGATATAGAACCTCTCAGCAATTACCAGCAAAGACAGCCTGCAACTCGCTACAGGATTTGCACCACGTAATCTCTCACGAAAAGCAAAAAGGGGAACCTCAAATGTAAGTAATATGCAGAAAGGTAGCTTGATGTTCTACACGCCCTTCCGTCTATCGGTACAAAATACACGCCCGCCTAAGGGACTCCCCATCCTCCTCCACCAAGCCAAAGCTCTGAAAAGGAGAAAGGCCCCTCGTTCCCTCTATTTCGCTCTCCTGGCCCACAAAGTCGTAGATTTCGTCGTCTATTCCTCGTCGTCATCGGCAGCCTCGACGTACTTGTGGCGGATGTCCTTCCATTGGCGCTTTTATGTTCAATCACTTGTCAGCAAAATCGCATGGTGACTTTGTGTGCCCAAATTGTGCCCATTGGAGTACTTACGCCGCGGTTCAGGTAGTCCCAGTACTTGTTCATCGCGCCGTTAAAGCCCCTTGAAATAAAAGTGTCAGCCCACGTTCAATTCCCTCTCAAATACCCCGATACCTCGGGACTCATCGGCCTCTCCCCTCCTCTGAACCTCGCAAGAGATACCAGCAAGTCGGATTATCGCAAAAAAGGGGGCGGGAAATCTCACATCTCGAAAGCAAAGCCCGTCGCAAAGACAAAGCCAAGCATGGAGAAGTTGTTCTTGAAGATAGCGCTATACCACCACAATCACAGGTTAGCATGTACATCCTTCATTCGCTCAATCGAGGCCGCCTCTTTCGGATCCAAGTCGCGCTGTATCCAGCTGATCATAATCGATATCGGTCGTCGGCGAAAGCGGCAGCAAGAAGAGAGGGAAGAACTTGCGTGTAGAAGGGGCGAGCGGCGGCCTAGAGACACAAAAAGTGAGCGATTAGCCAATTGCGGTCGCGCGAAAGGTGCCCGCAGGAAGTCTAGCATACCATTGTGAATATCGTCTGTCAAGTTCGCACGTCTCGTGTAGTGACAAGTGGTGCTTCTTTGCGGTCGACGGGGCGATGATCGTTCGGGGGGAGTGGGTTGAATCGGATGGTGTTGGGAGTCTTGACGAAATTCGCGATGTTCCGGGAAGCACTTAGCTTTGCCGAAATACATGGGCTCTGATTGGCTCTCCGATCCACCTTCCCTTCAACCATCAAAAGCTGGATGACTAAGGCTCGCCAACTGCAATTCTCACCACTAGCCACATTCGCCAAACGCCACAGGTTTCCTTCCAGCTCTGCCATTCACTCGCAAGTTGCGACTTTGCTGCACATCTACCCCAAGCAATCGATATTGCGTTTCGGTATGACAAATTTGACGCTGATTTGGTTTGAATCCTTGCCTTTTTCTGTGGTTCTAACATGGTGGTATTGCCCCAATTTGAAGTACGACGTATTGACACGTTTGGCAGTCAGAGAACGAGGCGGCAGCTCGGTTAAATGGGTTCTTGTTACTAATTACTACTATTACATGGCTACGAGCCTTTTGTTGCTAAGATTCATGATTTTCAACCCTCCTTAGTAGACGAGACGCTGTGATCATGGCGGCCAATCTTCGCCTTGGCATGGACTTTCACATTGTGCATCCGCTGTCGGAACGGCATGTGCTCCTGTGCTCTGCGACCTCTGAGCCCAGTGTGTGTCCGCAGGGGAGGCTCGAGACCGCCAGTAAACTTGCGATGCTCCTCGAGACGCTTCTCCGAAATCGTATCAGGTGCCCATTTCTTGCGGATGAACCATGGCAGGCATGAAGCCACCCACGCGTCGGGGATGAGACGGATGAAGGCTCCCCAAGGAAGAGAGATCGCGCCGAGACCGATAGAGAGACCCCATTCTTTGCCATTCAAGGCATGGATCTGGAATGCTTCACCTCCCTTGAAAATAATGAGAACTTGACCACCAATCATGATCAGGTTGATTCCGATGAAGAAGTAGTTCTTGGTGATGTTTTCAAAAATATTGAATCTATTATCCAGGCGGCGATTGCTATTCGGGAGTCAGTTGACCGTTCATCAGTTTTCTTACCATAAATTACTTACTTGAGTTCGTTGAAAATCTGCAGCCAGACAAATGTGTTGAAGACGAGGGTATTCAGACTCTTGGTATCGTCCTCAGATGTGCCATAGCCCAAAAGGCTGCGTCCAGCAAAGTTCAAGACGAAGGTAATCACGAGCTGCAAAATTGCTTGTCCCATAATCATCTTTGCCATCCTCAACGTGATGAGTGAAGCAGACTTTCGGTCAGGCTTGCGATCCAGGACACTGCGAGTCGGCGGGTCTGTGGCAAGCGCGAGCGCAGCAAATGTGTCCATGATCAAGTTGACCCAGAGCAATTGGACAGCATTGAGAACCGACTCTTGCGTAGGGCTGGCGACTGCAGAGACGAATGTCAAAACAACAGCGGTGACATTCACGGTCAGTTGAAACTTGAGCTTGTTAGCGAATTCCGTCGACTTTCTCTACTCATGTAACTTACCTGCAAGAACTTCTTGACGGAGTCATTCACAGCTCTTCCCCACATCAGGGCCTTGACGATTGAAGCAAAGTTGTCATCCATCAGAATGATACCAGATGCTTCTTTCGCGACTTCAGTGCCGGCAATGCCCATGGAGAATCCGATATCCGATAGCTTAAGCGCGGGCGCATCGTTCGTGCCATCTCCAGTCACAGCAACCGTCTCGCCAAGATCCTTGAGAGTTCGGACAAGGATTCTCTTGTCTTCAGGACTGGAACGCGCAAGAACTTGCAGTTTGGGAACGATGTCCTTCAGCTCTTCCTCGGTCTTTCTGCGGAAAGTCGGGCCTTCCATGGCAATACCGCCATCTTCGGGGTGATAGATGCCACATTCCTTGGCGATTGCTCTTGCCGTCAAGATGTTGTCTCCAGTGACCATGCGGACCACCACACCGGCGCGATTGCAGTCCTTGATAGCATCGATAACGGAAGGTCTCAGGGGATCTTTGATACCGTAAATCGCAATGAGGGTCATGTCTTGGTGAATCTTGTCAAAGTCTGCAGTCCTTGAGTCTTCCTCAGAGATGGCTTCTTTTGGTGGCCAGGAATCGAAGTCTCGGAAGGAAGAGCCAATTGTGCGAAGGGTTTGGCCAGCGTACGAATCAATCGTTTGCGCGAACATGTCCTTGTCCTCTGAAGTCAAGTCCACTACGTTGAGCTCGGAACCACTTGGGTTGTCTAGCACTTTGGTGCATTTTCCGAGGAGAATTTCAGATGCTCCCTTGACGTAAGCCCTGTATTTCCCGTTCGAGAGCTTGACAACAGTAGCCATGTACTTGACTGCTGAGTCGAAAGGAACAACCTGAACCACATTTGCGTTTGATCGCTCCTCTTCGACAGGTCCGGCCCCTAGTTGATCCCGGCTGAAAGTGAGAAGGGCAACTTCAGTCTTGGACCCGATGAAAGTATGCTCTCCTTCTTGATCTCCCTCGAATGCAGTGGAGTTGACGGCATTGCCTTGGATGAGGAGTTGCTTTGTCTCGGAGCTAAGGTCTTTGGCGAAATCTCCGGCTGAAACGTTGCGAACCGAGTTGACATGGGTTTCGTCAGAAGGCGACGTGCTGTTTTTGGGCTTCTCTTCTTTTGAGGACTCAAGAGGAGCATCGGTGCCGCCAAAACTGATGCTCTTGCCTAGGGTCGTGGCAACAACTGACATCTTGTTCTGCGTGAGGGTTCCCGTCTTGTCTGAGCAAATGGTGGTTGCGTTGCCCATTGTCTCGCAAGCCTTGAGAACTCGCACCAAATTGTTGTCTTTCATCATACGCGATGTTGCGAAAGAGAGCGCCAAAGTAACAGCCAGGGGCAGCCCCTCAGGAACAGCCACAACGACAACGGTAACCGAGACGATGAAGAGCTTCAGGAATTGCTGACCTTTCTGCTCTGGAGTACCGTTGTTTGTGGGGAGTCCGACGCAGAATTTGATGAAAAGGACGACGAACAACAGCAAAGCTGCGGCAAAACCAGCTTTCGCAATCCAATCTGCAAGAATGTTGAGCTTTCTCTGCAGCGGCGTATCTTCTTGCTCGGTTCTGAGAGACATGGTGATACGGCCATATGAGGAATTGACGCCAACCGCCGTGGCCAAGAAAGTGCCAGTGCCCTCCTGAATCTTGCTGCCGGAGATGATGAAGGGATCCATCTTCTCGATATCGGGATGATCGACATTGTCTTTTGCCATTTTGTCAAGGGCCTCGTAGACTTCGTCGGCGCTGACCTTCTTGAGCAGATCAGACTCGCCGGTAGCCGATGACTCGTCGCACTTGACCCCATGACCTTCAATGAAGATGCCATCAACAGGTACCACTAAAGAAGTATGCGTTAGCTAGGAATCGACCTAATGTCTCAATGATAAAAACTTACTGTCGCCAGTTGAGAGATGAACGACATCGCCAACTACAATGTCGTAGACGGATATCTCTACCGACTTGCCAGACCGGATAACCTTGACAGTGCGGTCATCGTTTTTCTTGTTGAGAGTGTTGAACTTTTGCTGCATTCGCCAATCGTTGATCGAGCCAACCATGACAACAATAACAATGGCAACCATAATGGCCACACCCTCAACCCACTCGACTCGGGCTTCACCCGGTTTATGGCTTTGTCCAAAAGTCTCGTATAAGCCCAGTGCAAGAGAGACGATGGCGGCAATCGACAACAAAATCAACACCTTGTCGTTGTAGGCGATCCACACCATCTGCAGAAATGACTTTTGCTTCTTATCGGGCAGCCTGTTATCTCGAAACGCATGTTTGCGGTCCGAGAAGCCACCGGTATACTCGCTTGGAGGAGGTGGGATGGGAATGTCGTTCTTCGCTTTTGGATCAGGCTGGGGGACTGTGTTTCCAGCTGCTCCATACTTGGGGACGCCCTTGAGAGCTACCTCTTCGAACGAAACCGCATGATCCAATTTATCTTCATCAACACCTAAGCCGGTCTTGCGGTTGGTTTGAAGACCTTTCTCCAGGCCAGCAAGACCGCCGAGAGCGTAAAAGGCATTGTGACTTTTTGGGTTCAAGAGCTTGCTCAAATGACCGGGGGCGAAAGCGAATCTGTTATTTTCTTTCGTGTTAAACATGTCTTCGGTGCCGCGATCAGGAGTCAGAGCATCTGCCGTATCCAATGAGAACTTGCGGGATCCATGGTGGCGCTCGTCCTTGGCTGTCTTGGCCTCAATATCAAGTGGTTGTTGCTGACTCTTTTCGTCCTGATCCGAGACATCAACGCCTTTCTCGGCGTCTCTGTTCGTGGTCGTCATAATGGCACTGTGGACTAAGCGACGTGGCGAGTAGTCTTCGAATTGATGCAGTATCCAGATGCTTAGGTTGAATTCTGCCGGGTATTATTCCAGTATTGCCTGTCGAAAGAAGATGTGGTTGGACCAAGAAGAGTGTTGATGTTTGGTCCAGACCGTCACTAGACTAGTGACGGAAAGGCAGTAGAGGTGACGGACAGATGTCGCCAGTACCGGTGAACGTAAAGTACGGAAGGAGTGAATGCTGTCGCACTTGCTCTATGATTTGAACGAAGTGCGAAAGCTCCAAAAGTGTCAGAAGCCTGCCAAGTCGACAGAAGGCGCCGGGCGGTGATGCTTTCGGGAGGCCTCCTCTGAGATATGAGGGAAGGAACAACCACCACAGAAGTGCACAGCGATTTGGGGAGAAATGAAGAAGAAGCAACAAGGCAAACATAAGGAAAGAGGAGCGGGAGATGATGTTATTGTCTACCGCACTCCCTACGGATAGAGAAATGAATGCACGTTCAGTCCCTCCAGTCTGCCTTGCCCACTATGTCAGTACAACATTCTTGGCAAGACCAACTTGTGCCTGGTAATACTCAAGCAACCACAGCATCATCATTAATTTCACCTGCCGCAGCGTCTTTCACAAATGCCCGACGCCTACCTTTTACCGTGCATAAACCGCGGCACCCCGGAGATCAAGCAAGCTGTACCCAATCATCGGACGAACAATGACGATGGAAAGCTGTTGTTGACCACCAAAAGGCCCGGAGGAAGCTGACCATGGAACGGTCAATGCCAAGAACGAGCGTGCAGGGCTCTGACGATTGTCGCGAGCGCATTCGCTGACTGCTCTTTCAAGTGGTTTCTGGTTTGATGAGAGCGAGACCAATATGTCGCCTAAGTCTTGGCAAACGCGGACTGAGTCCAGAAAGCTTGACTGGTCGAAAGAAGCTTGTGTTTTCTTGGCCAAGTCAGCTGTACGGACGAAGATGTGCGGTTATTTTGGTACGAAGTATTTGTTAAGAGAATTCCCCTTAATATCGATTCTCCCTCTCATTTCGTCAGCGAGTGTCGCAAAGCGCATTGCATTGCAGTTCAGAAAGTTACCTTGCCTCTCTCAACTGAATATGGCTGTAAGCGTTTCTTGATTTTGAACGGTCTGAAGTCTGACTCCCCCAATGAGGAGGGAGGACGCGCCATGTGCCACTCCCTCTCAGCCATGGTTGTATGTCTACATCATGCTGCCCGATGAGGGAAGGGCCTTTCATCCACGCCTTTATGCCGACGGGAGCGTTGAAAGGTGGCTTGATGGGAACCACACAGTCGGCAGGGCAAGCAATGCTCATACTTTGCGGCTAGATAGCGGTTGATAACAAGTGCTAGAGGTAAGAAGCCACCGCTTCAGACTCAGAGAGCGGGTGCAACCCGAATGGAGGATAATTTGGTTGAAACGGGTGATGAGGAAGCTGACTTACAATGGCCACACCGGACGGCTTGGTGCGCTGTCGCCCACATTCCACCCTGTCAATGATTACAATTGCCAAGACCTGATTGTTTTGAGACAGCACAGAGCACAGCTGGACAGGCAAACCAAAGTGTAAAAAAAACCTGGCAGCACAGGGGTCGGTATTCGCTAACATGGGATGGCACAGAAAGCACCGTACTTCCCGTCTTCTCCCTCAGATCTTCCTCACCGAAAGATACGCCGGTTTTCTGCAGGTCTGACCAGGCCAGAAGATGCGACACACGTGGCGTCATCTTGACCAGATCAGTCAACTACCTAGGTACGCCAGCCCTCTCGATGCGGGAGAATGCGAGGGAATCTATGTATGGTCACCCAACTGGTGGTTGCCTCCCTCTCATCTCCTCTTCCTTGCTCGCCTGCAATGACAGATCTCCGACGGGATTATCGGTTTTCTTAGTGTATCCGTAGGGATGGAAGATGGTAACGTATGGGAGGCGCTGTCCTTGCTGATTTCCTTCGTCTGGTGTTCCTGAATCCGTCAGAGTGGATCATGTGTTTGTGACCAATCAGCGTACTGTTTGTTAAAAGAAGGTTCAGACCCCAGAATGGTCAGTGCGCGACGCAGGAGGGGTTGTTTCGACCTCACCTTCTACGCTCGCTTTCTCTCCCACCAGCTAACTCAAACCCGACGCGACGTGAGAGCTGTCGACCGTAGCTTCGCACCCAAACCTGGCTTCCAGCCGGCCCTGTATGCGATCTCTACTCGATCTTTGGAGGTAGATCATCACATTGCCCCGACGTCTGCAGCTTCCCCGGCCGTCCGCGAAACGGTTCAGCTGCACGCACATACCCCGCCATCCCCTTGTGCCGACCTTAAGCTGCCAGCTGCCGCATCGCATAAGTGCCAGACCATCACCGAACGCTTTGGGCCGCCGGTGAGCACTCGCCCTCCAGCCTGCCTGAACGGCACAGACTTGCGACGAACACACGAAGCTCTCGATCGGGGCAATTCCTCAAACACAACCGGACAGCTTGTAGCTTCTTGCTGCGGCCAGCTCTGCTGAGCTGTCAAGGTTTCTCGACACAATGCCTTCCGAACCTACCAAACCCTCCAACGCGGGTATCATCACGGATGATGCCGGCGAACGCCAGATCCCCGAGTCGAAGCGAGCAGATGGCAGCGTCCGCAAAGCCATCAAAGTGCGCCCCGGCTACCGCCCCCCTGAAGATGTCGAAGTCTACAAGAACCGCACTGCCGCAGGGTTCCGCGATCGCGCGACAAGAGGTGGTATTCCCGGAGCGACAGGCCTGAAGGAGGAAAAGCCCGATGCCTCCTCCGCCGCAAGTAACAAGAATGCAAAGCGCCGAGAAGCACGAAAGAAGGCCAAGGCCTCCGGCGAGGAGGAAGGGGACGATACGAAGCAGACCGGAGGCGACAGTAACACTGCCAAAGCCGAAGAGGTCGACCCCGAAGTTGAGAGAGAAAAGAAGGCTCGGAATCTTAAGAAGAAGCTGAAGCAAGCGAAGGACCTCAAGGACAAGAAGGAAGGCGGAGGGACGCTTCTGCCCGAGCAGATCGCCAAGGTCATCAAGATCAACGAGCTTATTCGTGAACTCGATGCTTTGGGTTTCGATGCCGAAGGAGAGCCCAAAACTGCCAATGGAGCCGACGGGGAGTCCAATACGAAGGAGTAATTCAAGGAAATCTGATCATTTGACCAGTGCTTCTGGCGTCTTTTTACTCCAATACCAGCTCTGCCATGCGATCAACCATGGAACAAGGCAGGCCGTCGTCCTTGTTGCCTAATGCACGTCGCCAACGTCGAATGGACGCCTCACCTACAATACGCACCTACCCTTATAAAGCTCTCGAATAGGGCTTTTGACCCGGCCAGCGGCCTCAGAGCGGTTATGGGATCATTTGGTCTCCAAAAAGCTCGACACAAAAGAATGTCTGGTTAAGGAGTTGCATGATGTACGGTCTCAAGATAATCGATCACCCTAGATCCTCTTGCGGCGATGCCGGATCCAATCTCACATTTCTCTATATGGGCTTTCTAAAAGTCAAAGAATGTGCAATTTGGGAGATGGAAGCAGGGCATAAGTTTGTCTAGTCATTGGCATAAGTGTGCTTTCCGACATGCGATGCAAGACGACGGTGCGTGGATCAGCAGATGGATAAAGCTGATTTGAGAATCGTGGAGTATGAGATAGTTGCCGATATAAACTTCCACTGCTTCCAATAAGAAAAACTCTCTGCTGCATCGCGCAAAATACAAGTTTCCATAGCACCTGATCGTGATTTTGTTCTTGAAAGTGGCAACCCCAACAAGCCAACACTTGTATGCTTGACCACTCATCTGCATGATCCAATGCTGATGTGGGTAACGGGAACCCAAACGCATTGTCAATCCTGCGGGGCAAAACGTCTCAGCCATCTCGCATAGAGGCTGTAGGTTGCATTGCCTGCACCTGCGACCAGCATTGACGAGCCAGATCTCCTGCCCAAGTGTTTCGTATCAGAGGCTCGGAGGTCAAGCTTCTTTCTGCCTTCTTCACCCCGGGGCCGATCCGGATCACCCCAGCCATCATTCCAGAAGGCCGACCGGAGCTTAGCCCGTGGCATCCTGGTGGAGTGGAACCTGTTCCGGATCATACCCGGCTCGCGCCGTGGAGTTCGGCCGGGGGTGGGGGGTCCTTTTTTATAATTTGTTCCGGGAGAAGTGTAGTTTGCGGATGCCCAGTTCCACCAGAGAGATGCGTGCGCTTTCACTCACCAGCACCCGGGTGCATTTTCTACGATGAGAAGGTTCTTGAGACGATGAGAAATAAGTGCCTCATTACCGCACTGGACTATGGCCGACTATCTCATCAAGCTACTATTCGGCGACGAAATGCTTTACATGTTTCGTACTCACCCGGGAATGAGGCTGGCTCTGGAAGTAATCAAGATGCTGCTAACTTTCTTTTGTTCTTGATGCACCCGCTAGATATGCGGCAGTTTCGTTGAAGATATGACTTGACGCGGGAAAAGAAAGCTCCCATATTGGAGTAGGTGGATCTGGGTCAGTCTCAGAAGGCGCCCAGAATATAGTACGGTATCATGTGCGCAATCAAGTCGGGGTTCGCCATTCGCAAACATCTCCAAACGACGCGTACCGTGCTTGCTACCCTAGTAATCAAGGCTCTTTATCACTAACCTAGGAGAAATGAAAACATTCCTTGCGTTGGTAAGTAGCATACGTGGGAAAAGGGGGCGACAGGTTTTGGTCTCAGAATCTCCCATTAGGCTCGCCACCGCATTTACAGACAGGTTAAAGTAAGATACTTGAAAGAAAGTTGCGAATTTTTCTCGTTCGTGAACTTCAGCTGTCGCCGTCAAGACTTCATTCGGCAGGAAAAGAGTATTGACCAGGGGTTTCTGGAGTTGGTCATATGAAATAGTTATAGATCATCTCTGGGACGCATTCATCTTTTGGTCAACGGCAGAGTATCGATGCTGCTGACAGTGGGTAGTACAAACACATACCATCCTCCGGATGAGCCGGAAATAAGGATACCAGTGGCTAGGATTTGAATTGAAAGGTCCAACTAGGCAACTGATGAAGCCATGGATGAAGTCGCTATCCGATGTTTCGATTATCAAGATTCGGCGCTGAAGTAATGACAATAAGTCTGTGTTCTGGCAGTGGTGGATGGGAAGCATTCTATATAAAGGCACAGGACAGGGGTGGCGGGGCGAGGCAGCCGGGCGCGGCCAGGGAGACAGCTGTCGGCATCGCACCGGGAGCACCCTGACTGCCTGATTGGGGGGACCCGGGGGCCGAGCGACACTCTTTGATGCGCTGGTGTGGCGTCAAAGCTAGGGTGGAGCTGAAGCTTAGCCACCCGACTCGCGTGCTGCGAAACATACCTCCTACGCTGACGTTTCCCTCCGGACATGTGTTTGACTTCGACGACTTTCCAACCGACACGTTAATCACCCAAGTCAATTACCGCTGGGCTGGCCCGTACGATCCCTCCTGCTGTCTTCCCGCGTCCGCCTCGGGACGAATCTTATTGCTTTTGGGCGACCCTTACTCTCTCTGACAACCTGTTCTTTTGATGATCACCAATATCCAGACGAAGCTCCGAACATGAGGCTTAGGGGCAAGGCTGCCGCCCCGTGGCGCATCCTGCTGTCTGTCTTAACCTTGACAGCAGCTGTCCAAGCAAAGGACGAGCCGACAATCAAGGTTACCACAATCAAGCATCCTCCCATCAACCTGAATTACTTCGAAGACTCCGACTCTATCCTCTACCACGATGTCTCCGAACGAAACATTTATCGGTCCGACGATGCGGGCGTGTCGTGGAACAAGGTCTCAGACGTCCCTGGCGAAAAGGCCTACATGCTCACGATGCACGAATTCGACAAGAGCCGCGCCTACATAATCACCGAAGGCAAAGAACACTGGAAGACCTCCGACAAGGGCAAATCATGGCAGAAATGGGAGAGTGTCGCCGGCACCAGCGCCTTCCGCGAGGACATTCTCCATTTCCACGCCGGCGACCCGGATCGCATCATCTTCAACGGCATGGACTGCGCCGGCATCTTTTGCGAAGAAGTCTCCATGTACACGACGGATGGCTTCAAGTCCAAAGCGAAGCCCCTCCGATTCAACACCGCGGGATGCTGGTGGGCCAAGTCTTCGGATCTCTTCACAACTGGCAAGGACGATCTCGATAAGCAGCGGATTCTCTGCATTGTCCGCGACAGCTTCTCGCCTTTCAAAGAGGACCAAAGACTCTTCGCATCTGACAATTACTACGAAAAGATTGATAACAAGATTCAAGAATTCGAGCCGAACATGGATACAACCCGAGGAGTGCAGGGTGTCGTCAACTTGGCTGTGGTCAAGAAGTACTTGATGGTTGCCACATCATCCCTGAACACGGATGAAATGGCCCTCTTCGTCACAGACGACACCATCAAGTGGCATCGCGCCATGTTCCCTACCGATCATGGACACAAGATCAACCAAGAGGCTTACACCGTCTTGGAAAGCACCAACTACAGTATCCAGATTGACGTCATGAACACAAGGCCCTCGAACCCAATGGGTGTCATGTTCACAAGTAACTCCAACGGCACTTTCTTCATTGAGAATCTTGAGCACACAAACCGCAACTCTCGTGGTCACGTCGACTTTGAGAAGATTACAGGTGTGCAGGGTATTTTCATCGTCAACACTGTGAAGAACTATGAAGAGGTTGAAAAGGATCCCAGGAAGGAGAAGCAAATTGTCACCAAAATTACATTTGACGATGGACGAAACTTCCACGGTCTGAAGGCGGGCGACGATGAGCTACAGCTGCATTCTGTCACTGATCTCGACAACGTTGGTAGAGTGTTTTCCAGCCCCGCCCCTGGCCTTGTCCTCGGAATTGGAAACAAGGGCAAGGCTTTGACCAAGTTTGGTGAGGGGGACGTTTACGTTTCCGACGACGCGGGTGTAAATTGGAAGAAGGCTCTCGATGGCCCTCATAAGTATGAGTTTGGTGACCAGGGCTCCATCCTGGTAGCCGTCAAGGACTCCAACAAGGAAGATGTGGGAGAAATTCAGTACTCTTTGGACCACGGCGAGAATTGGAAGAAAGCTTCGCTCCCGGATGACCTGAAGATCAAGCCCGAGCTGATCACAACGACGCAAGACTCGACTAGTCTCAAGTTCCTTCTCGTCGGCAGGACCGGTGGCGACAGTGCCAAGTACCACATCATTGCGATTGACTTTGAAGGTCTGCACGAGCGAACGTGTAAGGACGACGACTTGGAGGACTGGCACGCTCGCCCCGATGCCGATGGCAAGCCTACCTGCCTGATGGGCCACAAGCAGACCTACCGCCGCCGCAAGAAGACGGCCGACTGTTTCATGAAGCAGGAGTTCAAGGACCCTGTTCCCGTCACTGAAGACTGCGAGTGTACGGATGCGGACTTTGAATGCGACTACAACTTCGTCAAGGATGGCGACAACTGTAAGAAGGTTGGCCCCATCGTCGCGCCTGACAATGCCTGCAAGAATGCCAAGCCGGACGACACGTTCAAGGGCTCTTCGGGCTGGCGCAAGATCCCAGGAAACACTTGCAAGCGCAAGAGCGGCGCACAAAAGGACGATGAAGTTGAGCGAAAGTGCTCCGACGTTGGCGGCACTCCTAGTGCCCCTGCTGATGGCAAGATCAAGGCGGTCCAGCACGTCTTCAAGACAGACCTGAAGGACTTTGAAAAGATTTACTTGGAGAGGGGTGACTCGAGCACTGAGGTTGACGAGACCATTCTCGTCAGACCGGTCGAGTACGCTGGCAACAGCATGCGAGCCGACAAGCAGATTTGGCGAACAAAGGATCATGGCAAGACATGGGATAAGATTCTTGAAGACGAGGAAGTGCGCGGCATCTACCCGCACTACTACTTCAAGGACGCCGTGTTCTTCACCACCGACTCCAAGAAGGTCCTGTACACGATCGATCGTGCCGAGCATTTCCACTCTTTCGAGGCGCCCACGAAGCCCGGAACGAGCAATCCTCTCTCTTTCCACCCCGACAAGAAGGACTGGCTCATCTGGATAGGCGAGAAGTGCGAGAAGATTGACGGCAAGGACCAGTGCTTCAAGGAGGCGTCGATCTCAAGGGATCGCGGTGACAATTGGAAGACGGCCATGCGCTACGTCCAGAAGTGCGAGTTCACCGGCCACTCGGCCTACAAGTTCCGCGATATGCGCCAAGTTGTTTGCCTTGCCCACAAGCGCGAGGACAATGAGAAGGATAACCCAAAGGTCATCGTCTCCAGCAAGGACTTCTTCGATGAGGATAAGCAGTTCCACCAGTCAGATGTAAAGGACTTTGCCACCATGGCCGAGTTCATCGTCGTTGCCGCAGAAGACAAAGAAAAGAATGGTCTCCGTGCTCTTGCCAGCTTGGACGGCGTCAGCTATGCTGAAGCACACTTCCCCGTCAACTTCAAGCCGGGCCACCAGAATGCTTACACCGTATTGGACAGCTCCACGCATGCTGTGAACTTGTTCGTGGCCACCGAGACTACGGAAGGGCGCCGGCAGGGAAGCATCATCAAGAGCAACTCGAACGGAACCTCTTACGTCATGAGTGCGCAGGCTGTCAACTGTAATGATGAATACTATGTGGATTTCGAGAAGATCACCGGCCTGGAGGGTGTCGCGCTTATCAACACCGTCGCCAACAAGGACAAGAAGAACGAGCCGAAGAAGGTTCAAACCCAAATCTCCCACAACGATGGCTCGCAGTGGACTTTCCTTCCCCCGCCAAAAGCCGACATTGATGGCAAATCTTACTCATGCAGTAGCAGTGAGGGCGATGAGAAGTGTGCGCTGCATCTTCATCATTATACCGAGCGAGCGGATAAGAAGAAGACCTTCTCGGCTGCCACCGCGGTTGGACTCATGTTTGGCTACGGCAACGTGGGCCCGAATTTGGGCTCTGTCAAGGACGCCGATACCTTCATGACGACCGATGCTGGCATCACCTGGAAGAACGTTAAGAAGGGTGCTTGGACATGGCAGTACGGTGACCAAGGATCCATTGTTGTCCTTGTCCAGCGGGCCAGCCGCGAGAACCCCGTCAAGACGAAGACTATCCAGTACACCACGGATGAGGGCAAGACCTGGAAACCGTTTGACTTCACCGACAAGGAAGTCACTGTCTTGGATATCTCAACTCTTCGCTCCGGAGCCTCGCGCAACTTCCTTATCTGGTGCAAGGACGATGGTGGCGAGATGTTCTCTGTCAACGTCGACTTTACTGGCTTGAGCGACCGCCCCTGCAAGAATGACGAGAACGGTGACTCTGACTACTACCTGTGGTCGCCCAAGCATCCCTCGCAGCCCGATGACTGCCTCTTTGGACACGTGTCAAAGTACCTGCGGAAGAAGGACGAAGCGAACTGCTACAATGACCTCAAGGTCCAGCACCTCTACCAACTCCAAAACTGCACTTGCACCAGGGCCGACTATGAATGGTACGCATATTTCCATACCTAAGCATTACGCATGCACCTTAGCTAACAAAATTTTCACAGCGACTACAACTTTGAGTTGGATGGCCACAAACAGTGCAGTCTTGTCGAAGGCAAATCCCCCATGTCGGCTGAGCAGTGGTGCAAGGAAAACCCCGATGCCGTCGAATACTACGAACCTACCGGTTATCGTAGAATCCCGCTCACCACCTGTGACGGAGGTCAAGAATTCGATAAGCAGGCCAACGTCCACGCCTGCGCCGGCAAGGAAGAGGAGTTTGAGAGGCGGCGCAGAACGTCTGGCATTGCAATCTTCTTTGCGGTCGTCATCCCTATCGGACTCGCAGGTGCCATTGGTTGGTGGGTATACCAGAACTGGAACGACAAATTTGGCCAGATCCGGCTGGGCGAGTCGCCGAACCTGGACAACGACGCGCCGTGGATCAAGTACCCGGTCATCGCCCTGTCGGCGGTGGTTGCCGTCGCGGCGGCCCTGCCGCTCGTCGCCTCGGCGCTGTGGAGGCGCGCCACCTCTGCTTACGAGAGTGTGAGCGGCGGAAGCAGGGGCAGCTGGCTCAACGGGCGGGGCAACCGCAGGTTCACGACGAGGGACAGTTTTGCGCGGGGCAGAGGAGATTACGACATTGTCGACGACGACGAGGGCGAGCTCCTTGGTGACGATAGTGACGAGGACGTATGAACGGGTTTCTTATGACTGGGGGAAGGGAGAGCAACGGGCTGCTCGCGGAAGCCTCTTTTGCTAGAGGACACAAACGCGGCACCCAAGCGTATCTGTGACACTATTGTTTACTGTTGGATTCGGAGTGGACGGGGCTACAAGGCAGGCAAGGAATCAGGCAAAGGCTGAAGAGAACATTGGTAGACCGATTTTTCCTTAGAATGTTGTATTTTCCCGGCATGGCGTTGATTTTCAAGCCACTTCTGGTTCTCACTTTGGACGATGACATGTGTGTCCTGATGTTATGCGTATCGTGACCTTGTAGGTAATATCTACTCCGTACGTATACGCACAAGGTACGGAGTATGAAAGTGGACGTTGTTCTGCTTTGACAGCGGGCAGCAGCGGCGCGGAAGTGCCGAAATGATCGGCAACGACTCGTGCGTGCTCCTCGAAGGGTTATGGAAGTTCGGCCGCTGTCAGATTTGTTGTCCACGATACCTAGGCGAAGAAGTGCCCAGGTGCCTCCCGGAAGTCGGAAAGAGCGGATGTTTCCGGCTACCCCGGGCCGGGGGGCACTCGACTCCATCAACGGTCAAGGACAGGAACCGAGAGCTTGCTACCCCCTTTTTCTGGTTGTGCCAAAATCTCTCTCTGGTTTACTCCGTAGTGTAGAGTAGAGGCCAGGGACCTTGCGCGGTGGGGATCGTGACCGAGTCGTGGGCTGGACTCGCGAAGTTGGCCTTTTGGCGGTCTGGTCTCTGCTTAGGTCTACGTGATCCATCTTGAGAGCAAGATGTTCTACGGAACATTATCCTTACGTAACCATACATGGTAGAGTCTGGAGCAACTCGGGAAGAAAGCTCGCAGCTGACGACGTACATAGAGCACAGAGTCGGGAAAAAGGGGGCGCGATGATCTTTGAATGGGCTGGACTAAGTGATTTGCGGATGAGGGGAGGGGAAAAAAGGTCAAGCTTTTGGGATCGTTGACATTGATCTGCTAGGCCACAATTTTGAAAGGTAGAACTCCATGTTCATCATTTCATATTTCTACAAAAGTACAGTTCTCGCGACCATGTGGGAAGATGTGACACGATTAACGCACCAGACCGTAGTGGAAGGAGAAGAGCAAATCATTTACTCAAAGAGGTTCCAGCCCAAGTCGAGTATGGAAACTTCATCTCTTGACTCTTTCTCCCGGTACCATTTCGACTTGGCGCTGAGAGTCGATGGCTCTGATGGGAAATTCGGAAGATTCTGGTGAGATTAGACAGTCTTGACTGAACGCACTCTGGGAAATAGATCTGCATAATGTTTCCTCGGGTTGGCTTGTATGGGTTGTCAAGGTTCGCCAGACACGTTGCACGCATTGTGCAGAGACCGGGATGTTGTGTTGTCGACCATTGACCGACTTGCCAGCACTTTGCTTCTTTGGCGAGTCTTAGGCCTCCCGGCCTCCGGGGGTGAATACGAGAGGGTGGTGGGGATCGCGAGACCCCGCCCGAAAAGAGTCTGGTTCAGCTCGGCATTGTGTCTGGCGGGGGGATGAGGCGGAGATGGGTGAGTGAGAGAGATTTCAGCGCAAAGGGGGGCGCCAGGCCAAGGCTTGAGAGTCGAGCAGAAGCTTGCCAAGCTGGCTGCCAGGCTGGGCCGTTGAGCTGGAAAGCAAAAGCGAAAAAAAGGGGTTGCGGGAAATGGGATCCGCAACTGACGACGGGGTGCTTTTTTTGTGCAGTGATTTTGCCCTTCACAATTAAGCGTGATTAAACATTTTAGACTTGTGCAGGAGTGCTACCTTATCTGACCACGTGCTGACGTAGGTGCTCCGTACAATACCGTCGCTACTTGAGGCTTGTCCACGGTTTGTCGGATTGTTCCTGTTCCTTCGCAGCAAAAGGCCCTTCTTTATTTTCAGATTTTGGCAGTCTCCGTTTATGTCGAAAGGAACAGAAGGAGGCTGCGCACGTGCTTGATGACCGTCCAAGTCACCGGGGCGCTCGCTCGCGCGCGGTGAAGAGTGTTTGTGCGATGGCTGAGCTTGATGATGGCGTTCCTGGGCTTAGGAAGACTATAGATTTGTTCTAACGGGCATCGACGATTCGACATAGATACCCGCATGCAGTGTATAAAACATGATGCGCACTCTGTATCCGTAGCCTCGTTGAAAATTCCGTATCCCGATATGCGCTCTCAATTCTGTGTTTCCGTACGGATACATGCGCAGAGAACCGTTCGATGATAACAAGCCCCCCGGCCGTTGGAGACCCACCCCGCGTGGTAAGAAACTTGGAACAACCAGAGACAGACTGCGGCAGACCAAAAGCAGTTGTTAGCAGACCAGGTGCCTGGTTGAGAGGTGAACGGTGTGTTTCGACTACCTTTCGCTGGCGAGGCTTTTTTTTTAGTGCTTCAGATAGTCTAGTGACTTCAGAGTCTAGTTCGAGTCTCGCGCCAGTCTGTCTGAGTGGTCGGTGACCCAGGTGGCCTAGAAAGTAGGCCGTCGGGTTATTTTCTGCCTCCGGACGGGCCTTGCATCTGGCAGATGCAGGTACGAATCATCGGGCCAAACTATGCCTGACTGGAGAAGTATGCACACCTCAAGGCTCACTTGCATGCCACCTGGAGCATCTCGTGACCATTATCTCTCTCGGTGAGGCGCCGTCGATTTTCTGTAGCAGACTGTAAGATTGCTTCCTCGAGAAGCCGTGATTTCAAGAAACGAAGGGTGTAAATGATCCATCAAGAGACATCAAATTTGCCGCCGAAGCGCGCCGGGCGATCAGCCATGAACACGAGGTTCAGAATCCATGGGATGGCGGGGTGCATTCACATCCGCGAGAAGCTGGGATTGGCTGATAGCCTGGTGTATCTGTACATACGTAGTGCATCGTACTCAGGAGTCCGTGGTGGGTGGTTCATCGGAATTATCGCGCTTGGAGATTGAAGAAGACTATGGATTGACCAAGTCAGACGAAACGGCGTTCTCGGCCACTCGAAGAGTCGAATCTCATCTTATTTTTCTTTCCTAATTCGTACGGATCATCATCATCGCAATCAGCGTAGGGCGGAAGAGTTGTACGGAAGTTAGGAGGCCCGGGCGACGGTTTGTGTGTTCTTCGACCGTCCATGCAGGAGAAGAGGGAACCCTTGTTGGAAGGGTCCCCCTTCTTAACGATACGAAAATAAACTGTCATCAAGATTATTAGCCCGATACCAATGAGAGGGCGAGAGACTCGAGAGTGAGCATTGACCTTGCTGCTTGATGGACAGCGTCAGGTCTGAGGTCACCGGTGCCAGGAAACGACGGGCGGCGCGACGGTAAGGTGTACAAACTAGTGCAAGTGCTGTGTGACTGATGGTGAGGTGAGGTGTGTTCCTGGATAACTGGATGGACCGGGGGCTAGCGTAAACAGTAAACAAGCTTGGCATGGGCGCAAAAAAAGAAGGTTCCCTGGCTGGAAAAAGGAGGAGCCTGGAGAGTCGAGAGTCAAGAGTGGGAGGTTCATCTCATTTTCTGGGTCTGGTGCTTGGGAAGTGTCTAATGTCGCTTAGCTAATTTCCCGGACGCACCACTCGCTCCTCCCCCCTTCTCAAGTTTCTCCTCCAGCTGGGAGGCAACTGCAGCTTACAAGGTCCAACTCGCTCCTTCCCCCCGCCGCACCCGCCGATCCCTCCCCAATCAGCCATCTCAGTGGACTGCGCACCTCGGGTACCTTGCAGCTCCGCCTCTGTTAGCTTCTACTATGCAGTATTCGGTACTCAGTAAGGTACCTTACGGTCTGCCTGCATCCTTACATCCAAAACCCGTTTTATTCCATTGTGTGTTTTTCGTATGGAGTATGTGGGAAGGAAAGAAAGAAAGAAAGAGAGAGATGATGGTGTGGTAGTGTAGGTACCTTACTCACCTCGCGCTCACCGTCGACCGTTCCTTCTTCGTTGCTTCTTCTGGCCCTCCGCCGCTGGTTGATGCAAGACTCAAGAGAGCCCAGCCCAGGCTGGATTCCTTCTCGAACCACACACTCTCAGTCACTCACAAACGTCGAGCTCAATTTCACCACACCATGTCTCTCAATCCCCTCCAAGCCCAGACTCTCTCATGAATTCGGTTGGACCGGTGGCCAAGTCCCCTTGACCACGCTTTTACTCGCTCATTTGCTGTCGTGTCCGCCTCTGGACTGGATCTGCTTGGCCTTCCCGCCTTGCGGTCTCCCAAGAGCCCAAAACGATAACCCCCCAACTATGCTTAACCGGGATGGCCATTTCGCCTCCCTTTTCCTTGCACTGTCAGTCTGACAGTCATTCATGACGAGCAGTGGCCAAGGTGCTTCTGGTCATCTCATTGACTCGAATACAAGCCCAGTCAAGATTGCCAGCCCGTATCCTTTCTTCAAGCCCCTGACCGAAGCCCTCTCTCTGGATGGCAAATGTCTCCGTTGTGATCCTCAACCGACAGCGTCCCTTTGCTTTTCCCGAATCCCATGGTCCCGATAATCCCCAGACACTCCACCAGAAGTCTGGGACTCTCTGAAGCTGAGATTCGTTTCTGGCTCCTACACAGTGGTACCTCTCCACCTCCTTGTCCCTCAACTTTTCTGTTGTGACTTGCTGCCGAGGACAGGGGCTTGTTTGCTGTCGATTTGCTGCTTGTGTCCGTAAGGAACACAAGAAACCCCTCAGTTTGAGGTGAGGTGGTGTTGCCCTTACACCTTGCCCAATGCTTCTTTTTATCCCGCTGCCATCTACAGTTCGTGATTACCAACCAATGGCTCCCTGACTTCCATGGTAAACAAGTGTCCCCAGCATCATGGAATACACAAGTCGAACACACACACAGTCTTTCCTCCTCCCTCCTCTGCAAGACTGCCAACCTAACCAATGACCCAATGCCATCCAATGTAAGGTCATTGGACGCTAGCCTGCCCGCACTTTGGCCCATTCATCCATCTGGAAGTGGGCACACACACACCGTTCGCGCACACACCCCGGCCCAGGGCCCCCGGGGACATGCTAGACTTCTCATGGTCGTACCCATGAAAGTACGGATACTAGCCTTCTACCTAATCTAACCACCATCACAATAATAACATCCCAGTCCCGCCAGTTTTCTTTCCTCCTCTTTCTCTTTCCCTTTTCCTTTCCTTACGAAAACACCGTCAAATGAGTTGATGCCGTCAACGTAGTTTCGTCGTCCCTTTCGTCTCTACACGCGCAAACCTTCACTACCGCTTCACTCTTTTAGCGGGCACTCGCTTCCCAAAGTCGATAATACTCAATTCCCCTACTCAAGAAAAAAAGGCAACTTAATTCACCATGAAGGGCTCCATCCTCGCAGTCGCTGCCGCGACCGTCACCGGTGTCACCGCCGCTGCTCACCGTCACGCCCACGCCGACCTCTTCAAGAGAGGCGCTGACCAGGCCTCCGTCTGTGTTCCCGGCTGCACCACCATCTACACCACCATCTACGGCGAGCCTACGCGTACGTCTCTCTCTTTCACCCTCCTCCATTACTCAGAATCAACCTTGCTCTGTAGCATTCAGAGTCTTGGGGGATCCGAGGTGAATAAAGCTTGTATCAATCAACTGTGCTGACTTGACGATCAACAGTGGTTCCTAACCCCCCCAGCAAGCCCAGCAGCAAGTCCGTCGCCAGCGCCCTTCCCTCGGCGCCTGCGACCACCAAGGCCGCGGAGAAGCCCACGTCCACCGCAAAGCCCGTGGTGCCCGTCCCGACTCCGGTCCCTGAGCTCTGCCCTACCCCGGGTACCTACACTTTCCCGGCCACGACTATCACCGTGAACCAGACCACCACCGTCTGCGCTCCTGAGACCACCAAGGTTCCTGCCGGTGTCCACACCATCGGTGGTGTCACCACCGTTGTCGTCGATGCCACCACCGTCGTCTGCCCGTACGCCACTGAGAAGACCAAGGATGGTGTTGTCACCAGCGTCATCGAGACCACCACCTACGTTTGCCCTACCCCTGGCACTTACACCATTGCTCCCACCACCACGACCGTGACTGCCCCGACCACCTGCGTCTACCCCGTCGTCACCGAGATCGTCCCCGGTACCTACGTTCGCCCTCCCGTCGTGACCACCATCACCGAGACCAGCGTCGTCGTTGTCTGCCCCTTCACCAGCCAGAACCCTGAGCCCACCAGCAGCTCCGTCCCGGTTGTTGTCCCTGCTCCCGCGCCCACCACCGAGGCCCCCAAGCCTGCTCCTACCACCGAGGCTGCCAAGCCCACCACCCAGGCTCCCGCTCCCGTTCCCACGACCTCCGCCGTCGCCACCCCCGAGCCTGTTCCCACCACGGCCAAGACTTCCTCTGCTGCCGCTCCTTCCTCCTCTGCCCCCGCCACCGGCGGTGGCCTTGGAGGAAACAACGGCGACCACTGGGCCATTACCTACACTCCCTTCTCTGAGGATGCCTCTGGATCCTGCAAGACCGCCGACCAGGTCGATGCCGACATCTCCACCATCAAGAACTCCGGCTTCCGCACCGTCCGTGTCTACTCCACCGACTGCAGCACCCTCGAGAACGTCGGCGCCGCCTGCAAGAAGTACGGCCTCCAGATGATCATTGGTATCTTTGTCAAGGAGTCTTGCGACCCCAACTCCGCCGACGTCAAGAACCAGGTTGACGCCATTACCGCCTGGAAGCAGTGGGGCATGGTCGAGCTCGTCGTCATCGGTAACGAGGTCATCTTCCAGGGCCGCTGCTCCGCCAGCTCCCTGAAGCAGCTCATCGTCTCCACCAAGGCTGCCATCACCGCCGCCGGCTACTCTGGTCCCTACACCACCGCCGAGACCGTCGGTGTCTGGCAGCAGTCTGATGTCATCTCCGAGATCTGCGACGTTATCGACGTCGTCGGAGGTCAGATCCACCCCTACTTCAACGCCGAGACCGCCGCCACCGACGCCGGTACTTTCGTCAAGGGCCAGATTGAGCTCCTCGAGAGCTCCCAGATCTGCGGTACCAAGCCCGCCTACAACCTCGAGTGCGGATGGCCTTCCGGTGGTAACTGCAACGGCAAGGCCTGCCCCGGTACCTCTGAGCAGGCCACCGCCATTGCTTCCATCAATGAGCTCGCCGGTGGAAAGACCGTCTTCTTCTCTTTCCACAACGACGAGTGGAAGGACCCCGGCACCTGCGGTTGCGAGCGCACCTGGGGCTGCGGTGACCTCTTCTCCGCTTAAAGAGAATTAGCATCACGAGACCAGGAACAAGAAAGGGAAATCGAAGACAACAAATGGATAGCCCCCCCAATTATTTTCTAATTCAACGTTCGGCATTTGAACATACAAAGAGACCAATCCCTCTTCCCTCCGACGTTGCCTTGAGGTGTACCCATGAGTCCAGATAAAAAAGACAAAAGAAAACCCCCCTTCTTTTCCGACGAAAACGATTTGCAACGTTTCCCTTTCAAGTGTACAATGACAATTGGATACCCCCAACAGTAGAGGACTTCAAGTGAACCTTTCCTCCCTACGGTTTCGAAAATCTACATCTATATACATATTGCCTCTAGTTTAATCATCTCTGTATACATATGTACGTGTATGCCTACTTTCGATTCACGTATGGGAAGATAGGCCAAGTTGTCCGAACACGTGTTTGTATAAATGAATACCTTGATATATCTTCAGAGCACCTTCATTAATGTATTGCCCAAGACGGCCCCTTGAGTAGTTGAATCGATATGTGAACCTCTCGAACCGTACCGCATTCGACGCAAACTCAGACTCAGGTCTCATTCACACGATGAGTTATTGTGCAGAATCAAGAACAAAAGTCTACGACTGCCATATCCATTACACATCCCCATCTCTCTGGCTTGCTTTGAGGGTTTTATCGACCGACCATCAGTACCAATGTTCAAAAGGCAAAGGCAAAAACTACATCTGTACCATGACGTTACAGTTGACCTCTCGCCCCCCCTGATCTTGATCTCATGTTCTCGTCCGAACTGTTGGCCCGTGAAGTGAACTCGAGCTGGAACGTTTCGCATACCTCACGTGCCTACGTAATGTTTGGTCCAACAACGAGAAATGAGATGAGGGGGAGAGAAAAAGATAAAACCCAACCATAAAGGAGCAATAACGCATATATACACACACAAGGCAAGGTCATGAAAAGTGGTATTTCGTCAACGTCTTTATCGGGATATATTCCGCCCACCCTCCGCCGCATCGCCCCTCCAAGTGGACTAATGCCAACCCTCCCCCCTTCCTGGCCTTTCATGAACCCAGCTTCTAGTAAACAGACCAAGCCTTAAAAATACCAACTCAAAAAATGAAGCCAAAATGCTGAAAAATTCAGGTTCCGAGGTTCTCATCCATCATGTCAAGAGAAGATGTAATGTGTATCCGCGTGTCCCGCCGTGCCAAAAAAAAGTAATGCATCCAGGAAACTGATATCAGTTTCCGTACACCCGAGTAAAATACCAACACGTCCGTGGTGAGAATACCGCGGACTAGAAAAAGAACCAATAAAGCCAGCAGACACCGACCGATGCCTTGCGTCCTTTACCTTCCACACCGCCCTTCCGTTACGTCGTTAAAGCCCCCCTCCATGCAGTATGAACAGTGAATACGCTGTGCTGATTGCCAAAATATGTAGAAAGGAAATGAAGATGATGCTTGTAGAAGTCTCGGACCCGGGAATGTTTTCCTGACCGTCTTTTCCCAAGGCCAGCGCACTAAGGCACTGGCACTGTCTATATGTCGAACACACACACACACACACACATCGAGTGTGGACAAGTCGAAGGTTCGAAAGCCAAGGTAGAGCTTGTGGGTAAACGCCAAATCGACCAATGTTGCCACGACGCTGCGGCCAAAACAACGCCGAAACGCCGATGACAGGTAGATCAATACATCCCTGACGCAGCCAACGTTGGTAGATGTAGCTGACGACAGTGGGTGTATTATGTCCTTTCCTTTCAGAAAGGCTCCAAGTCATCAAAGAGGTCGTACCCTCTTTCCCGCTGAGCCGACAGTTTGGATTGAACCATCTCTGCATCAGATAGTATTCCACTCTGGCTAGGCCTCCACCAAGGGTCCCTAGCCGCCGCTTGATGTGCATACCCAAAATCGGAGCTGGACGCTATATCGCAACGCTCCAGTTGTACCAGCCCTCCACGAGTGCGGTCCATGCAGAGAATATTGAGGTCCTGACCGTCGTTGGTGAACTCAACGCCTCCAATCTCCCCAAAGATATCAAATGTCTGCTTGTGGGCTAGACTTTGAATGTCGATGATGTTGACGTAGTCAGCTTCCTCGGCCGCCACGAGAACTTGAGGGCCGCTGCCGGTAGGTGAGAACCTCAGGCTGCGGACACCTGCCATCTCGGAACGAATTGTGGTGAGTGGCTTGCTGGTACCGTCCGAGTTGGTCCACATTCGAGCGTCCCAGAGTTTCACGCTCATGTCCTGGAAACCGGTTGCAACGGTCCAGCCATTGTCTGACCAGTCGCATGCGAACCCAAAGTCACGGTGGCCTCCCAACTCTTGCAATATTTCACCGGTGTCTGCGTTTGCAATCAGGACATTGTAGTTATCACCGACCATTACGCGCAAACGACGATCGGCGGACAGAGCGGAACAGTTGATGGGACAGCCGTATTGCGTATCCAGAACAAACTTCTCGGTGGCCACATCCATGACACGGAAACCTTGGTCATTGGAAGCGAAGGCGGCCAGCGGTGAGGATGAGTTTCTGGAAGTGTGGATCTGCAAATGGTTGGTTATGCCACTCACGTGGCTGGTGATTTGTCCTTCGGCGTACTTCTTGTCCTGGCTGTAAATGTTTCGCATACAATACTCTCCGTTGAAAGTACCTGCAATCAAGATGCCACAGTTGGCGTCCAAAGTTGAAATCTGGACACCCATCATGTCGTTGAGGTCCATGGCCACTTCACTTTCGCCAGATACGGGGTTGATCCGGTGAACGGCTCGCTGGCCTGGGTAGAACGCATGGCTGCGCCCAGCACATGCTAGGATATTGCGCAGCTGGAAATGAGCCAGGTGAACGTTTTGACGGATGTCCATGCGACGAAACCTGAAGAAATCCTCGGTATTTCGTATAATCCTGTCTGGTAGATGGGGCTTTGATGTTCGTGTTAGTTACAGTTCTGTATTCGTCTTGTTCCATGAGGCAACTTACAGCCCATATGTCCGAATCTGTCCTGTTGGTGTAGTTCTTGTAGTCCAGGCATCTCCGCTCTCGAGCATTTTTGCGTGTCACCCCCAAGGCCTCCCAGTCGATGCCCTGCGCGTCGTATGCATCGCCCTCCAAGTCCGAGTATCGTACACGCGTGACATCCCGCGAGACCTGTGCATTGATCTGACGAATTCCAGGACTAGGCCCTCGGGACTGGAATCCGTTACGCCAGGCCCATCCCTTGAGGAAATCGGTCAGACCAGGATTTTCAGGGCCGAGGGTGCTTGGGTTGGGATTGCTGAGGGCCGGCGGACCTGCATTTTCCCATGCTATTTCGTCCTCGTTGGCAACCACTGCTTGAAACTGCTGGAGCTGCTCGGCTACAGGTGGATAGAAGACATCATCATCGTCGTCATCATCCATGGCTCCAGCATGAAGCATAGGATGGAAAGGAGTCGTATCAAGCGGGGTGGGATGATGAGCTCCTATCGGATCAAGGTATGCATTACCGGCCGCAATTGATACGTTCCAGTAGTTGACCATATGAGCAGGCGGCCCCGTTGAGGTGTGTTGCTCGTGTGGCGAAAGTGCGGGTTGCTCGAAGTGATGATTCCCTGAGAATGATTGAGGGGGGTCCAACTCGGGCTCGTTGTCGGACATGGGAGACAGAAGACTGGTGACTGTCATGACATGATCTAAGGGTGCACCTCCATCGCTGTCGCTCATGTCTAGGTCGTCGTCGTCATCATCCTCCGCATCGTCGTCGTCGTCATCGTCGTAGTCTTCGTAATCGTCGTAGTCGTCGTGTATAAATGAGCCGGGCTCGTGGTAGTAGGATGAGGGTATCACGGGGAAAGTTTGGCTGTAAGAAGAGTACGCTGCTTGGCCATGTGTCGGCGGGTCGTGAGGCTGTTGTTGCTGCTGCTGGCTGTGTTCGCGGTGGAGGTGGTATTGTGGTTGTTGATCGGAGTAATTATCGACTGGAGGCGGGGCGGACCCGATGGCTTGGTGATGGTTTGAGGAAACGGATGTCGCCTGAGCCTGAGAAGGCTGGGAAGCCGTTTCTGAGGTTCTCGGTCGCATTGTGGTCTCTTCAAGTGTATGCCGTAGCCAGTTCAGGCCGATCGAAGAACATCGAGGGTTGCTGCACAAGGGAGAGAAACACCCGTGGTCGGGTCGGATAGATGCGTCCTCTCTTGTGGTTGCTGTTGCGGCTGCGAATGGAAGATGACGGTCGTCTCCCTCCAGAGCCGACACCTCTGTGGACAAGGCAGCAGTCAGTGTTGCCAGTCAGACGTCCGACTTGAGCAAAGTCCGTCTCTTGTTCCTTCTCCTTCCAAACCAAACACAATTGGTCCCAACCGGCGCCGATGCAGGAAGGGTGTGCAACGTCTCTACTGAAGGCGGTGACAGTAGACAGCAGAGCTCGAGGAAGTGGTGGCAGACGCCAGTGAGCAAGGTGAGCAGCGTGCGAGCGACGTGCAAAGAATCAGAGTGATCGTTGCGGAGGTTGTCGGCGGTAGTATGAAGGGGCGGTGTTGGAAGATGAGGGCGCTGATGGCGGCCGTTTGGTGCGGATGCTGAGCTGGGAATGCGGTCAGGCGGAGAGGCAGCAAGATCGAGTCCACCTACGCAGTGGTGTTGTAGCAGGGCGGGAGCGGGACTGGAACCCGAGCGGGATGTCTTTTGTCTGGGATTCCAATGGTAGCGACAAGGGAGGACAACTCCGACGGGCAGTGGGTAAGGTACTCCCCAAGGTACTGCGGAAAGTAAAGTAAGGTACCTTACTGTGTATGACTGTGTATGGGAGCCTCGGGTGGGTGTTGGCGGCGTAGCGCTGGTGTTGGCAAGCAGCTCGTAGAACCAAAAAAAAAAAAAGGACAATACCAGCACGCAGTAGAAAATCAAAAATAAAAATAAAAAAAATAAGATCAAAAGGCGCGCCGGTAGGTAGGTACTTGCCTAACTTTCTCAGATCTCAGCCGGGACCAGACAAGCAGCAGCGCAAGGCGGCGAGTTGGTTGAGTCGCAACTGAACCCCCTTGGGGCAGGCACCACGGCATCACCTTAGGTGTCTACACTCGACGCTTACCTCAAGGCATGTCAAGTCTGGTACTTGCTCGCCACGGAAAGATACCTTGTCTTACATGGTTCATGACCCACACCAAAAGTACTCGCGGTTAAATCAAAGTCGATAATCCTTCGGCCTTTCATCCTCGGGGTGCTGTGACAGGGTCTGATCCCTCAGCTACCGCCTTCGGATGCCAACTTTTACCTTCCAATCCATTACTCCGTCGCAAGCACAAGTTCAATTGCAGATGCTGCATGAGGAGAACCACCCACACACTTCATGGCCAAAACCTGGCACATTTACCTTCACCTCGAGGGAAGGTATTTACAGTGTGCGGACCTGCTCTGTTCCGACCACACAGAAAACAAAGTATGGCGGCCATTGTTCTCCAGAATCTATGCGGTTTGCTACTTTACCTCAATGGCTTCATTCCTGAGACGACATCCACAGAGCTGCACTAGAATTGAATTGCCAACAATAGCTCAGCCACATCAGTCGAGTGGCATTCTAAGGAACCACAAGCGAGACACTGTATTGTGATTGAACTGGATTGCTGAAGCCCTTCATACGTCTGCGCCGGAGCAAAAGAGCAATGGCGAGCGATATCTCCACACACCGATGCCGGGGGTGCACACCCACTCTGACCAGCCAACCTCGCAGACTCGTCCTGCCGACGTGGACCCCAGACCTAGTCCCAGTTCCAGTCTTGTCTTTGGGAGGTCACTCGACCTCGAGCTGTGCGGCGTGCCTTTCGTCTTCACCTCTTTGTAAAGGACGAGGTGGGAGCGAACCGCTGAGAAAAAGGAAAAGGGGCGCTCGGTCTGGAAAGCGCCTGGGCATGAGCTGCCTCGCAGTGTGCGGCGAGCTATGCTATGGGACGCCACTTCCCAATATCGTATGCATGGCTGACTCTGACGAGAGAATGGTGTGCGTGTGTGTTAGGCTGGCTGGCACGAATGGGCCGCTGGCTCGCTCCTCGGGAGTCGGGCCTGCCTTGCACCTTTTGTTACAAATACAGGCCGAACACAAATGAGACGAAGTACGGATACTCCGTACCGCTCTGCCGCTTTGGAGTCTGGACGGGAGCTCCCACATAGCCAGCCAAAGCTTCACGCTCCCGTCCTGCCACCTCAGGTCGCACAAGAAGGGTGCCTGACTGGCTTGCTGCTTCCCAAAAGATTATCTTCCAAGAGGCAAGTCGCCGCAAGTAGAAGACAGCGGGGACGAGTGCTTTCAGTTTCATGCCGAACAATACGGATATCCCACCCGATGAAGGCAAAGATGGAGATGCTCTTCTCTCATTCCAGCTTCTCCACCCCACACATACATCAACTCCCCTCAACTCGCTGCACATGCTTTGTGCCCTTTTCCCTCGTGGGCCTCAAGGGCCTCAAGGGCCTCAAGGGCCTGCATTGTTGCATTGCTCCTGCGGCTTCGCGGCTTGCCTGACGTCACGGCCGTGGTGCCGTCGTGACGGGTCAGTAATGGCATCCAACGGCTTCGATTCAAACTGACTCTCACACTGCACTAGTTGGTCATGAGCAGACGCAAAGAAGCCACCCGCCTCGACAATGGCGTCCCGACCTCATTCTAGTGCGCGAATAAACCTTTGACCTGCCGCAAGCCTCCTCGACACCGCAGATCCTACCCCAAGATCCAATCAACCACCTGTCGCAATCCGATGGCCCATCTTTGCCATTTCAAAAAGGATCTCGACATGGTGCTGCTCGTGTTCAGCTTCTGAGCCTCCACCTTCCTCCGGCTTACAGGCATCCTACCTAAACAACCATCTGGCATTGCTCACCTCGTACGATCACCTTGTATCAGTCATATTCGACCTTGACGAAATTCGCATCTTTCAAGGTGTGTCGAAGGCTCGCCCGGTCTCCAATACGTGCGATGTGATCTGTCACCCGAGATTGGTCTCTGGCCCTTGGGGCTCGGGTCTGGGCATCCCGGGATACCAGCCCACTCATGTAAGTCGTTGAAATAGGAAAACGGCCAATGACTAGACCTTTACCGACTGCCACCTGGCAGCTGCAACAATGGGTAGAGGTCTTGGGCCCTTACGGGCTACCACTTCTTTTCGGTGATCGGTCTTCTGACTCCCCGCTGTCTTCCTCGTTCCAAGTTACGACCAGGTGTGCAGAGCATCGATGGGGCACTATAGAGCTGACAGCTGGCGTTGCTTCGACTACTCGTACGTTGCACCGTTCTGAGCCCTTTAACATCATCGACTGGGCATGTTCTTTGCCTGCGCACTCATCCAGGCACACCTATAGAAGCTGACATAACCCGTGAATCCAGCATCCTACCCAACATCTGACCCGGCTGCAACCTCATCAGGATTTATCAAGCCGCATCGACCTACCGAAAGAGCCCGACTGCATCCGGATCCTCAAACTTCCCTGCCAGCCCATCGACCATCGGAGCCCACCCTCAAGGGCCCCAGCCACGCGCGCGTGACAGGAGGGCCGTTGGGGGATGATAAGTCACATTCGACAGCATGCGCTCCTCGAGTTTCAACCTCCCACTGCTAACCTATTTCCCCCATGACTCCGGTCCTCAGCTCCGCATTGGCTTTCTTTTTCCAGCGCTCGACATTGCCCGTTGTCTCTGCCTGCCCGGTCCCTTACCTGATGTGTAAGCAGTAACTTGAGGAACAGCACTGAGCAAGGGAGGGAGGGGCTATTGCCGCTTCTCCCACATACTTGGTGCTTACATGCGAGTGCACAAGACCTGCCAGCTCCAGTCAAATCACTTCGGTCAGCAAGCAGGATATTTTTGCAAGTGCGTGCGTGCAACTGACCAGGACCGGAAGGTTTGGACAAATCGAGACCGCCAGAGACCAAGATCCTGCCGTTGCCATCGGCCGACCCCGTTGAAGACGCATTCTGTACCCATATCCATTTTCCTCAGACGATGCACGTTGGCAACTGGAGGTCTGGAAACCTTGCCAATGACAGGAATCGACATGGACGCTTGTCATGCTTACTTGCCGTTTCCTCGCCGATTTCATCTACCCATGTCGAAAGAGAAGTCGTGGTTGTCATCGACGTTCCAGCTTCCAGCTTATCGGCTCAGGTCCGTCTCGTGTCTTGGCCTCTGAACTTCTGAAGTCTGAATAAGTCGAGTGGCGGGTATTCCGGACTGGAAGCAAATTCAGGGCCAGGTCACACCTGGACGACCGACACAGCAAGCTACCACCCAAACTCGTGGCCCTGCGCCTCGGGTAGAAGCACACAACTATTCCCCAACCACGCTGAATATGAGGTGGAAAAAGAAATATTCAGCAGTGATGAAATCTGAAAAGGGGGGGGGGGTGGTTCAGTCCTTCCAGTCCCTCCCGATCCCACCGGCGAAGCTTGGCGGGCCAAAGGCCGTGCGTAAAATCGTTAATCGACCTCCAAAATCCACAACGTTTGCCGCGAATGATGAACGCACCTAGGGACGATATTTGCAGAGAAGCGAATGAGAATGCGAGCGACCAAGAAAAGAAAAAAGACACTCGCAGACGGTAAAATGAAAAGTGCCACGGGAGAAACTGGGAAGCACCAATGTCTCGGCTACCTACAGCTAGGTATTGTACCCTTCTTACTAAGCCTCTCCTCTCTCTCCATTCACGCTTCCATTCATCAGGAAGCGTTGTTGCCCCCCCCCCCCCGGCCGAAGTCTGTGTGATGTTTAGAACATCTTTTTCTTTCTCGGGGGTTGATCATCATATCCTTTCTCATTCCAGACTTCCAGTCCGTCCGTCCGTCGCTTCCCGTCGGCGGGAGGCTCACCTTTTTTTTTTTTTTCGTCCCCTTCTCCACAATCTCACCGGTTTACCGGGATTTCTCCCACACCTGGTCGTGCTGGTCCAACTAGCAATAAGATCCGTCCCGCGTTTTTTTTTTACTCATTTCCAACCTCCCTCTTACCCCCTGTCCGTCCCGCGGCTTTCATGTGCGATGGGAGGCGAAAGGGTGTTTAGTGAGCATCGCTTGTTGGTCAGGTTGAATACGTTGAAACATATTCGTCCACACCCATTCCGTGCAACACTCAACAGGATTCAAAGTCGTGTGGATCGATACTGCTTATCAACGCCACAGTGTCATCATAAAGGAGGCCAGCACGAGAAAGAGCGAGGGAACGAGAAAGGAGAAAAGAATAAAACCGCCCTCTTCCGCATTCCTCCCTTCGTCGTGTCTGTGTGTACGGAGTACAGTGCACAGTGTAGCTGTCTCCCTCTCAGACCTCGCAACACGAAAATCTTGTACTCGTTATATCACAGCCCGCTGCGAGGTAACACGACATTTACGCCCGATATTGCTTCTTTTCCAACATTGTGTGTGGGAGAGTAGTGTATACGGGAGAAGATATGCGTGCGTATTGTGTAGTGTAGTGTATGGGTCTATCTAACCCCCCTCCAATGATCCGAGAAAATAAATCCCTCCTCAGAGAACGCCTTCATCATTGGCGTTTGCTCTCTCGGCCGAGTCATCTCAGACAATCGTTACAATTACCCGAGGGGCAACGGTGACAATGGAGGGGGTGGGATAAATGTTGACTCGCAATCCTTGCATTCTTTTCCTCTTTCCTGATAATGCTTTGTATGCATGGATAGATGGATGGACTGTGGTCATGTTGGCAATGTCGACTGGGCAGACTGGACTGATGTCCAGCTACTGTGGCTTGTTATTCGCGATACTCGTGCCATGGGCGAACCGACCCGATCAGCCCTTGGATAGAAGTGACCTTAAGGACTGAGGAACCTGCTCCCTGTGAGACGTCATCCTCACGGACAGGGCTGCGGCCTCCATGAGACTCGGAGATATCCACGTCTGCCTCTTTACCAAGGAAAAAGTACGTTGCGAGGCTTTACGTCTTCATCAAGGAGACGGACACAGTGAGGTAGTAGACAACGGCACGAGACTTGGGAAAACAAAATTCAAGCTTCAAGTTGCGGCAATAAATAACAGTGTCAATACAGTTCCGCTCCACCCGGCTTCTCTCTCTCTCTCTCTCTTTCTCTCTCTCTCCTTTATTACAAGTTGTCAGAGCCACTCCAATTATACGCAATGCTCATCCCTCCCCTTTTTGGTTCATCAGAAAAAAGTGAAAAGAGGCCTCATGTGATGTGCGCCTTTTCGTAAAAGTCCCCAGTTAAGTATATCCTCATGCTTTGAAACAGAAAACGCCCGGCCGTGTATGATTCCGCTTTTTATGCGTCAGAGTAGTACTCGTCTTGGTACTGGTGGCCCAGCGGCGCCGACCAGGTGTTGCCACCTCCGACGACGTTCTCCTTGGAACCCCAGTAGTTGTTGCGCGTCCGGCGTTCACGCTCAAACTCGGCCCATCTCTTCATCGTGATCTTGCTGCTGTCAAACTCGCCCTCGTACTCGAGACCGGCTTTCTTCGTCTTCTCGCCTGCTGTCTTTCTGGTATCTCCCCAGGAGAAGTCGTCAAACTTCCAGAACGCGTACGTGGGAAGGACAAAGTTCCAAAGGGGCAGCGAGCAGAGGTAGATAAGCATCCACACGACGTACGACCAGGAGTGAGCGGTCAAGACAATGAGCACAGCGGGAAGTCCAAGAATCAAAGCCAGCAGAACCAAGGGGATAATCTGCGGAGGCGAGTTGACAATGGAGATGACGACTGGAATAGCTGTTAGCTGGGCATAAGACAGAATAGGCGCTTTAAATACTTACCGACGTAGAAGGTAAATGCAATAGCGGCGGGCAGGACGAGAGTTCCCATGAGCTCGATGAAGATGACAAACTGCATACTGAAGCAGAAAGTACCGCAAAGATCACGGACCAAGACCAGTTCCATCAGGTTGTGAATTGTTGAGTTAATCCATCGTCGACGCTGTGAAAGCAAAACGGCAAAGGTGTCGGGCACCGTGGTCTTGCAGACGGCCTGGGGCACGAACACCTGCTTACGCTTGGGGAAGGTCCGGAGCATGAGAGTTGTCAGGTATCGATCCTCACCAAGCAGAAGCAAGTTCTTCTTGTGCAGGGTGTCAACCACATTCTCAGAGTAGTGCTCAACAATGTCCGGGTTGGCCAAGATGGGCACCCAGTAGTCCTGGGCTCCCTTGGGCGCCTTGATGCGGTACATGCAGAAACAACCGGGTAAACAGGTGACACCGCCGAAGACGGACTCGAAAGACTTAGACAAGTGGTGAGAGATGAAGTACTCAAAGACCTGAATAGCGGAAACCCAGCTGTCACGCTTGTTGGCAATCTTCGTCTCACCGCAAAGACCCATGATTTCTGGATCCTTGACCATGGCAGAAACCATGTGTGTCAGACTGTCGGGGAAGACCTTGGTATCGGCGTCGACCATGAGGACAATCTCGTAGAAGTCGGGCGATATACCCGTGACTTTCCATAGACCGTTGAACATTTCGTACTCAAGCTCTGTCATACGCTCATCGAACATAACCTTCTGAAGGAAAGACATGAGAATGATCTGACTGTCACGCTTGCCACGGTTGCCTGGCTTGGACTTGGTCGCCTCATCGGGTGTACCGCACTTGACAACGAGAAGAACGGGAACTCTTTGCTGCTTCTCGAGCGGGATCGCAGATTCGTTGCCATAGTCGTAGAAACCGGAATAGATCTTGGCCATGTTGTGTCGCTTGGAGCCGCTGGCAACCGCAACGTAGGAGAAGGGTTCGACTTCCTCAGGAAGAATGGTGTGATCCTTCATCATTGCCAAGCAGTAGTCAGGAGTAGACATGGACTCGCCCTTGCCCTTGATGATACCGTCACAAATAATGACAATCACTTTGTGGCTGTTGGGGTAGTCGGTCATCGCGATGGAATCGAGAGTGGTTCGAATACCAAGATGACCTTCGGAGTATGCGGTAACAAGGCACATGGTATGGGCAAGAGGGTAACCAAAGGGCATCCAGTCGGCAGGCGGTTGAGGCACAACAGCTTCATGAATAAAGCCAGCAGGGCCAGGACCTTCGGTTGAGGGTACATTGCTGGTGTAGGGGTCTGAGCGAAGGAAGCTAGTGCGACTGTCGTTGCCCTGACGGTACATGGCGTTGGAGTGCATCATGTTGCTGCCAGCACCTGAACTGGCCATGGTTGTAGGCATCCTGCGTCCACCAGCCTGCGGTGCGGCGCCGGCTCCATAGACAGCGGAGAACCGAGACGTTGTGGGCAGGAAGGTACTCTGACGTTTGCTCGTCCGGTCTGAAGAGCCGTTAACACTGCTTCCGATATCGCCAGGCAGTCTGGGAGGTGCGCGGTAAATGTCTTCAGACCAGTCCTCAATCTGTTGATTACGCTTGCGCTTATCCTTGGTCTGAGAAGTCTTGGCCGCGGCGTACGTTCGGCTGATGAACCATTGGAAGAATACGGCGAGGACGAATCTCGTCAACACGACAGCGAGAATCAACACCAAAGAGACGTAGAGAACGACCTTGGACGCAATGCAACCAACGGTGTCAGTGTCAACTGATCCGACCTTGATAATCTCCTCGAAACATTCGGCAATCTGCTTGTCGCTCGAGGCTTGGAAAGCTCTGGTGACGTCGCGTCCACGAATGGCCTTGTTCACAGCTGTAGTCTTGTCCTTGAGTTCGTTGAAACGATCTGGCACCTTGACCTGGCTGGTATTGAACCAGTTGAGCAAGTCGAGATCGAGGACAGTGCCGGAGTACACAATCAAGTTTCGGGAGCTGTTCTTGATGTCGTTCCATGTGAAGTAGACATCAGCGGTACCATCCAAGTCCAGGTAAAAGGTATCGCGACTCTTCTGCGTCGTGTGGCAGGAGTAACCAAGATAGTAAGGAATCGTCAAGTTGGGCTTGGACGAGCCGTCTTGGTTGAAGACGGTGCAAGGGAAGTACCATGCCAGGTCACCGTTGCTGTTCGTCGGGACATCAGAGTTGTCGGCCAGGGTGATGAGGTTCTTGCATCTGCCATTGACGTTTTGGAACAAGAAGCTGCCGTCTTTTCCGCCGTTCTTCTCGGGCAGATCGTACAAGACGTTGGCGCCGTGAGTCCTGTTGATCATGGGCACGCCATCGGCGGGAGGGTGACGGGAGCGTGTCAAATCGTAGGCCGTTCCGTGGAAGATCATGTATCCACTGTCCACATCGTTGACCTGAAGGCGCGGCGGCGGGGTTCCGCAAACTACCTGAGTGAAACCGAAAGTCAAGAAACCGACAAAGCCCATGATGAGCAAAATTATGCTGATCAAGCCAATCTTCTCTCTCCAAGCTCTCTGCTGCTCCTTTGAAGCCATACCACAGCATTTCAGCATAAAGTTTGGACACCAGAAGGTGATGATGGCGCAGTAAACGTTCCAGAAGCTAGGAGGACGAATCTGCTCGACCTGCTTATTCTTGTGCCGCTTTCCCTTGCCATCCTTAGTGAGCTTGCCGGACTTGTGGCGACTCAAGCGCTTAGCCTTGGTTTTCGAGTGTCCTTTCTTTTCCTCGCCGCTATTCTGTCTGCTGTTAACTCCTCGTGGTGGTGAAGCATCCGAGAAGTTATCGTTGGTTTGCGAGCGCCCAGAAACGTCGGTTGTTCCTTCCATGTCCTCGACTATCGGATCGTTTCCGGTCGCGGATGGCAGGACGTTCATGTTGGCGGCATGTTTACGGTAGTAGTAATTAGGATGGTCCTTGTCTATTCTGTGTCGCTCGGGTCGAATCAGACTTCTCTTTCTCGTGAAAGCCTGGTCGCCGGTCGAGGGTCCTGGAGCCGGCGAGTCGTAGGTCGGGGATAGAGGCTGGTTCTCTGTATTGATATTAGGAGTTGAGATCGTCTCAGGAAAAGAGGTCGCTGATTGCCCACGTTGGTGCTGAGGTCGCCCTCCTACGGGATAGTAGCCGCCAGTCTCGACATCGTCCGGACGGTTCCGTCGCGACGGCGAGTTCCTGTAGGCATTCCTATTCTCGAAGGGAGAGGTCGCTGCAGGCCTTTCGGGGAGAGACATGGTCCTGTGAGGAGATGCAGGTTAGCCTTTGATTCTGAGAGAAAGTTGGAGCCAGCGCCGAGCGGTAGCAAAGAAGTTGTTGGAGCAGGGAGACTTCACCCTTCCCAAAGAGGCGCCTGAGGTCTGTCGCGAGTTGAAAACAGGCGACAAAACGAGTCGAGCTCGGTTTCTTTTCGTAATGGGAGGGAGGAGAGTGGAACAAACGCAATTACTGAGGAAATAGAGACATGCGGTGTTGAGTGGGATGGGAAGCAAATGTGAAGGATCAAGAAACCACAACAGCAACAGCAAAAAGACGGCAGCCAGTTGCAGATCGTTGGCGTTGGCGGGAGGTCATACTCACAGGAGTTGTTATTGGGAGGAAAGCACCTCCAGGCAAGAATTGTGGATGTCTGGGCCTGGGCACCCCTGCCAGTAGCGGGGGGTTGTTCCTTGGGAGACGGCGAATCAATGGGGAAGCCGTCCCTATTTTCGACCCGGCTTTTCTCTGTTTCTGCGCCAGCAGGTCGGGGGTGACAGCTGGACAACGAGGCCAAGCAAGGAAGTTGCCAGCAAAGAGTCTGAAGCGCTCCTTGTTCTACAAAGCACGGAGTGACTGCGACTTGCTTGCTTCCCTGTTGCCTTGCGCAGTGCCGACGGGTAACTCAAAGCAAGAAAAGCTGAGATGGTTGGTGGTTGTGTGGGCAATCCCAGTTTGGCCCCTACAATGGTGGCCGAGACTCCAACAAGCGACGAACGGTCCAAAGGGTGGTGGTTGCTGCGTTCCTTCTGTTCTCCTTTTCTTGGGCTTGATCCTTCTTATTGTTTTTACCCTTTTCTTCTCTTGTCCTTTCTTCCTGTTTGGTTGTTGCGTACTTGTCTGATCTTTCTGTTGTTTTTGTGGCCCGAAGCAACTTGACGCACAGCTTATGTGCTACAACTCAGTACCTTGCACAACTACTTGGAACCAGGGGTGGTTGGTGGTGCGTCGTGTCAAGAAATATCGATGGAACAATTCGAGACGACTATCCGCTATGCAGGTATCGAATTGGATGGATTGGAGGGACGAAAAGAGCGGATGGAAGTTTCGTCGCAAGTGCAGCGGGAAAGAGATATGGTTTCAGATGGCAACCGACACGACTATTGAGCAGTAACAACTGCAACAACGTCGATCTCCTTTCCGTTGGTCCAAGAGCTGAACGAGTGATTTGATGATAGGAAAAGCTCACGAGGATTGACCAACTGGTTGCGCAACAGTACGGACAGGTCGGTTCTGGAGTGCAGGCAAGTGCGCACCACCTGTTGAGAGACCGATGAGCGATAGGAGCGAGCGAGCGAGGAGGCCGGGGCAACAGATGCGATGGTGCGCACAGTCCGTCTTGAATTGCCTCCTTCTTCAGCCAAATCGGGGTGGCAATGATTGAAATGGACGGAGGTTATCGTCAGTATGGCGGATGCGACTGTCGCCAAAAGCGCGGCTAAGAGTGCTCAGAGCGAGACCAGGTAGCCAAATTGAACCGCCAGGAAATGAGGTCGGAATCTCGGTTCTGCAGAAGCACGACGAGCGGAAACGAGAGTAGGTAGTCGTACTTCAGATGTCGACTGATTTCGAAAGCCAAGAACGACGGGGGTTGGCGCGAAAGGTAAGGTCAGCGAAAGGTGGAAAAGGGAATAAGACTGAGCGTCGGGCGAGGGACGAAACGTTCGGGAGGGACGACGACTGACGACAAGTCACAACACAATTTGCCTCCCAAGGCTCCGAGACTCATTCACGTAGGCACGAGGCGTCTCGAAGGAAGGGATGGCAATGATGGGCGATCTGCGTGGACAGTGGGCACCAAAGAATTACTCTGGGACAGCCCAGCAGGAAAGGGGAAATCAGAAGAGAGTCCGGTGAAGCAGGCCGTCTTAGTCCAAGGACGGTCGGTACTTTGTCTAGCCATAGAAATCACGCCTGCAACGAGGTATTGTCCTTGATCGCGCCGGCTGTCCCATTGCGTTCCAAACCGCCACATGGTCCAGCACCCTCGCCTCACCCAAATCTCGTATTATTGATTTTTCAGGACGGCTGGCTCGCGTTGCTACGTTGCTGTCTGGCGTGGCTGGGTCTCCTTTGCCAATGCTACTACTAGAGTACTCCTTGCTTCAAATATATCGACGTGATCCCTCTTGAGCTGCCCTGAATGAATCTGCCACCATTGGGCAGATTTATTGATCGCAGGAGACATCTAGTATCCTTCTAGTTGGCACCATGAACCCCACGAGGTTGCGCACGGCTCGACCACGGATTGTCTTCCAGTCGACGGGGAAAGGGCAAAGATTGAGTTTGGCTTAAGTTGACATGGTCAATACCTCAGCGGAGCCACAAGGGGACTTGGGTGGTAGAACCGGAGCACCACTTTCTCGCCCACGGGGTACATCGGAAGTACTGTCGAAGTATTCGGACCTCGGCCTCGCAAGTTGGCCCACGTACCTCAAGTATCCATAGTACGCAGTAGAGGTCATAACAAGCCAAACATTGACGACAGAGGCGCCAGTCAGCCATTCCTCTGGCACGCAGACGACGGCTTTCAAACATCCTTTGGCGGTTACGACTCATTGCACTCGTTCCATGCCCCTTCCTGTCGTCGCAACGGCCCAACGGCGTCGGCCTTTCCTACACCAAAAGAATCGTTGTGCTCATGATCCCATAGCCCACCTACTTTGCAATTCGTCATAGAGAATTGTCCGGGGTGGCGGATGAAATGCGGACTCCATACGAACTGATGGGCGCTCCCACCCACTCATAAGCGACGTATTGCCTGGGTGCGCACCTCTCTATCCACACCAGGTAGTCTAAAAACCAGATCAGCATGCAGGACCAGGGTTGCTATTTTCAAGCTCAAGCCCCTGTTGCCCAGTCGACCAGCCGGCCAGCCGCCCCCAAAGCAGCTCGGAAATGTTCACCAGACCCGAAAGAGAGTTTGTCTTTGCTTACCTGCATTTCAGAGCTTGGCTCTTGGTACGTTGTGTGCCTGCACCTGCGCCCCGCCCGAGCTCCGCCCCAGCCGGTTCTGGAGGCGGAGGGGAGCGACACTTTGACGGTATATCCGGAAGATGTTTTACCAGCATACAGATTCGGTTGAATTTCCCAGCATCTTCTTAGTCAGCCCATAAGGCAAGTTGATCACCTCGTGTTCTGAGTCTTCATTGCCGTTGGGTCGCTCCTAGCGCCTGTGTTAAAGACGTTGCCCGCCTCGGCCGGCACCGAGATTTGCGACATTAAAAAAAAAAAAAGGGCATAGGAAATAACAGGGCTTCCGAGTCGTGTTGGTATTGACATACCTATACCTGATTGCTGCTCTCTTAAGAGACGGAAGGACCGCAAATCAACCCGATGCTGGGCGTTCAATCAAAACCTTCTCCCCAGTCGCAGTTGCATGAAGAGAACCTCTTGTGATTGGCATTCAGGCACTCCCTGAACTGCCGTCAAAGAACCTAGAGTTAAAACTTGATACCTAAACCTAGCCGTGGGCTGATCGCATACGGATAACACGGCCAAGAATTATCGTGTTTTTCATGTTTCAAAGGGGCTCTGATGCGATCCGAGGAATGCTTCCCTCCACTGGAATATGGGAATTCCACCTTTGCATTTGCCGCTGTCTTGTCGGTCCGGTTGGTATTCGTCTTCGCGAGTCATCTATTAGATAAGGATACGAGCGCGCCATGTCGAGGAACTCCATTGTCTGCATACCACACTCCTATCGGCTCGTTTCCAGCGTTTGCTGCCCTTGCAGCTGCCACCGTACTGTGTATTCGTAGTTATCAAGATAGATACCCTTGGCCAAGAACAGCGGCAACGCGATAATCACGATCCTGATCCGCGGCCCCGGCGCTGTTTGGGTTTTCGCTTCCGTGCCGCCTCCACTGGGAACGAGAAACTTAGTTTTGAGCCTCCCTCAGAATGGAGCCCTGCATCGTTATCGTCAAATCCGCACCTGCTAAGTTAGCCCGCTCGCATCGCCGTTTCTGCGTCCCACTGTCTTCTACCTTGCTTCCCCCGAAGTGATGGCCAAATGTCCTGTCACCCTATATCCGTATGGAGCTCTGGGTATCCGAATCCCGTAGTACATGCGCGAGCTAATGTCAGTGTGACAATTCTGCGAATCGCGGGGTGTGGTCTCGGTGTTGTATCTGTACCTAGCAATCACCCGGGGTCTGTACGGACACAGAAGTGCGTCTGTATCTAGGATTGATTGCTTGGCTTGGACATTGACAGTTTGCAGATCGTTTCTGGGTTGGCGTCGTGAAGCTCCACCAGCCGAATAAGAAACCTCAGACACCTTATGTGTGTCTGTTGACCCTATGGTGATAGAGACGTGTAGAATAAGCTGTACGTGGTGAAAATCAGATGAATTTTCGTCTGGTGTCCATCTCAATATTGGAATTTTGGAGCCTTGTAAGGCTCTTCGACTTGCCTGTCTCATCTCAAAACATCAACTTGGGCATGCATTCCAGATAATGTTGATGGATGCAGTGCCTATCTGCTTCCTCTCCTCTTTCGTTACACCGGCTCTTGGAGGTCTCATTGCAATTGACTGCACCTTCGGATTGTGGCGACCAGGGCTGTGAACAGGATAAACTGATTTGCTTCAGCGGCGTTCCGCACGGTTGCCAGCTTATTGTAGAGCTTGGTCATTCCCGTACGGCTGCTGTCAGGCCAGTGTTACCCTTGACCAAAGATTTTCGGCCATGGTAAAGCCTGTTGAGCTAGTGATCCCAACCTATCTGCCCCAAGTGGCCAAAAGTACGGACGTCCAACTTGGGAGGGGGCCGGCGGGCTTGGGAAGCAGATGGCACCAGGCAGACCAGACACCTGTAACTATAGATGCTTGGGTGTGAGAGGGAAAGAAAGAAAGCGGGATGTTTCTGAGCCAAAATGCATCTCGGGTACTGAAGCGAGACACCAATTGAGGGAGGCTAACTGATTCATCCTGGCGCCAGAACCACCCAACCAAATTGGCATCGACGACGATGATGAGATTCGCACCGGGCTCCAGAGGCAGGAGTTGACCGTATATTTAGTCATGCTCTCTTCAGAACCGCGGTGTTATCAGCGTGTTGTTTGTCCCAAATACATTCGGCTATGTTCTGTCTATAAGCCAGTTCAGAAAGCAACTTAGATCACGAGGTTCTCGTTCCTCTTGACACTGTCATGACGGTAGTCAGGTCACTGGCCTCCACGTCGTCATTTCGACCACGACACACGAATTAAAAACTTCGGGCGCCTTCATTCGGCAAAGAAGGCTCGCCAATCGATGGTCACTTCGCAGAACCAGCTCCAAGGTTCCGGGGTCCTTAATTTCCAAATCGAATCTGCCTACGGATACAGGCTACAGGCGCCATGCGGGGAATAAGGAAACCGACCATGATTGGTGCTACAAGCTACAGTGGCTGCGTCGCACGTCGTGGTTGTCAATCCGCGATGTCCGCCGTGGTGGCCGCTGCCTTTTCATGTGGGACCCACGGACGACGGGGCTCCATGGACCGACATGACCGACCCCGGACTGAAGCAAAAGTGTTCCCAGGTTGCAATGTTATACATTAGCAAAAGCGTGCAACTCCGAATATGCCAGCTTTCGAGGTTACGAGACTATGCAATTGACACTAGATGTTGAGACAAATGTGTGTTGAGCACTGTGTACAGTGTTGGAGCGCCTTTGGATGTAAAGTCTCGTTGAAAAGTTGAAAAGGGGCTTTTCAGCTTCGGGTGAAGCACTGGGCTCGGTCGACTTGGCAATGCACAACAGTGGATTTGTGGTGCTGATCGAAGGTAACCTATTTTGCCTGTACGAGGGGCGCGGTCAGCCGGCCATCCATGCCCTGCATGCGATTTCGCGATAGCGACAGCATCGTGCGGGATGATGCCTCACATGACGAGCAAAAACCGCACCACCCGCTTTTCCTGGTGGAATCCATCCCAGACCTTTTCCGAGTGGCTTTGGTGAATTCATTTTCGGTAAGGTGTAGCTGATGTGTAAAGGCGGCAAAGAACTGGGAAGAGGCGTGCCTGGCGGCGGATTCAACGGCGCTCCTGAGTTCACACTCGCAGCCATTCTGCCCGTTTCTTGCGTCAGCCTGGTTTGCGTGCTTTTTGTAGGTTTTTTGTTCCCTTCTCGTTGGACTAGCGGTTGTCCCTGATCCGGAAGCTTCCCCTTTCCAGACCTCTTCAATGGCAGGTGCAGGGTCGTCTGGCGCGGCCTTTACCCAAGACCCAGAACTCTCGCCGATTCGGCCGACAGACCCATGCTAGGACGCTCGACCGCTGGGGCTGACCACTTTGTAGAACCCACATGAATATTCATGGAACAGCGGAGAGCTGGAGTCGCCCAAAATTGGACGACTATGCGCTGTTCACCATCAGATGCCGAATATATGCATCTACCAAGTGGGTTTTCCCCTCCTGAATGCCAAAGACAGTTGTAAAGAAGTGCTAGGCTGCCTGCTCGTTGGGAACCGCGTGCGCACAGAAAAGTTTCGAAACGAACACGGGAAATGCGGGATGCGCAAAGAGTCCGTCGTATAGAGCCTTGTCGCGAGGCAGATCTCTGGCGAGAATAGCGTCGGTCACAAGAGCTAACCGTTCTTAGTTGTACTCAGAGGTTGGCAGTGGGTTCTCGAACGAACTTCACTGCCTTTCTCTGGCGGGGATCATGTTGGATCCGTTCTTCTGGCAGGCTTTTGGATGGTGGAGGCTACCCTGAAGTCCCTTCTTTTGGTTCTTCCTTTTACACAGGGTCGTGCGGCGGGGAAGGTGACGGGATCCTGGTCTCCAATGCCCGTCACACGGTCAAAGTAGGTGAGGACAGGGATCTCGGAGACAAGAATCTTTGCAAGCCTCAGGGTGCTGCTTGCGTGCCTCGCACGTTTGGATATCCAAGCGGATGCTTGGTCGAGGCAGATGTGCCGATGCGAATAGGGGGCTAGGCGAGGTCGTTAATGACAATGAGGCGAAGAGAAGGCCCAGGCTGGGCGCCCCTCCGGATCAAGGTGAAACGAATGATTTCATTGCTTCATTAGCTACGCGCGTCGAGCCCAGAGGCATGAAAGCCTGGTAAAAGAAAAAAAGGGATGCGATGTGATGGGGCCCGGATTCCGTGCTGTGGACATCAGGTGTTAATTCGAGGAGAAGTTGCAGGAGGTTGGAGGCGAAAGGATGGCACTGCTGTGTTCCATGCTCTCGGCGACCAAAATCGGTCTCCTTGGTTGAATTCCCGTATCTCCCAAGGCTCAAGAACAAGCGGTATGCTCACTGGGACATGAGCGACTTGCGTACCGGTTCTGTGGAGAGGCGGTGACCGGAGATGACATGAAAGTGTACTCCGTAGCAGCGTTCAAGACAGGTTTGACAGAGGCGAGATGAGTGGTCATGTTGGTCTGGGGTCGGGGGAAACCCTTGACATTGATGTCGATGGAGTTCCGGTCGGATCTACTGTCTGTGTGCCGAAACTTGAAAGGTGAGCATGGATCCGAACTGGCGAGGTCTCTGAAGGAAGTTGACGATGCAGATGGGAGCCGCGGGGTTTCCAGGTGGTGACACTGTGCCCTACCTTCCGGTCGGTCCTTCCCAAGAGGAAAAGAGAAATACACAGGAAGCAAGCCGAAGCTTTGCAATTGCTTGCAGGGCGGCTGCCTTCTGCTTTCTTTTTCCAATGCACGGTACGTATCTCTCTCTACCTTCTAGTTTGGTGAGGTACCTGACCATTCTTTCCGTTTTCTTCGTGCTGCCGCTGCAGACCGTACTATGCATCTGCAGTAGCTGCACGTTGGACACCGGCACAAGCCGCACAACACGGGGCAGGTTGCATCGGTCCATCTGGTCGGTCGAGGAAGGTGCGACGAGACTTTCCGTCCAGACAAGATGACTCCTACTCCGTCCGTAACTGCTCTGAGAGACTGAGGTTCAGACATCAAGAAGTACCTTGGCGCCGACCGGTCCATACA